GGGTCGCAGATTCCATTTCTGTCAATAACAGCCTTCTAAAATAATCACATGTTCACATACTTTGCATATTTCCAAGATGGCGGCCATTTTTGGCGGGAGGAAGGGACGATGTGCAGATTTTGATTAAGTAGTAGTGTTAGGTGGCAATATATATGTTTAAGGGGCGCATATTCCATTTCTGACATTTACAACCTTGTAAAATTATCACATGTTCACATTTTTAGCATATTTCCAATATATTGCTGCCACTTGTGCCGGGAAAATCGGACACTGTTCTAATTTTAATTAAGTAGTAGTGTTTGGTGTCAATATATATGTTTACCGGGGCGCAGATTCCATTTCTGACATTTACAACCTTATTATCATTTATTTACTGGTTATTTACAGGTTTCTGAGCCCGATTCTGCTACGTTGGCTATTGGCTTGTAGCACATTCCTGAAAGCCGGTATCGTCTCGTACCCCTTTGGTATATTATCCAACGATGAAAATTCCTCATCCGATATTACCACTGAGCCGATATCGATTTTACCGGGAAAGAGAAGCCTATTCACTCAGTCTCCTGGCACGAAGGCAAAGAAAGCGTAATGGCAGCGTGGGGCTTGCGTCAATATGAGTGGCGAGAAAGTGACATGCGCCATTCATGCTCCTGCTACGACCACACCAAGCGCTTACTACGCATAACGCGCACCAGTCAAGATCTTACTAGGCTCATGGTCAAGCTTTGACTACGCACTCCATGTTCCCACCATGCTCTCGCGGTTAGCAGTCAGACCGGGATACGTGCCTACCTATCGCAAGCCGCTCTCGCCACGACTATAGAGACTGTGCCATGCTTTCCCCGCCCTCATTTACTTTCAAAGCAGAAAACAACCACAGGTCAAGCAATAAAGAACATTTTTTAGTTTTCTTGATGTTTCCTCTTTGGATGCTAGACTAGAGCTGGTGGATGAGGCTCAATTACCTTCCCTATAAGTGGTGACATAGTTGTTTTTCCAACGACTCATTCCACATGGGGTATATTATCATGGGGTCAGTTGATAATATAGTCTATAGCAAGTATTACTATTTCATTTGCAGTCCTTGCTTTTATCTCTTTGTATAACACTCTCAAAAGTTGTACGTCTCACATTTTTAACCATCTTTAATTTTGTATGTATAACTGACAGGCAACATAAACTGAAAGTCTCGATGGCGTCACCAAGTCTTAAAATCAGACTGGAGTACAACTACAACAAAGCGACCGACCAAGTAAATGTGCTATTTTTCTAGAATATCGATATTAGCTCAGTGGTCAATTTGGGTGAGGAATTTTCATAGTTAGATAATATACCTAATGTGTCAAACACGACACTGGCTTCCACGGAACATGCTACAAGCGTCTACATAACAGAATTGGATTCAGAAACCTTCTCAGTAACGTGTTTAGAAAACCTGCCACAAACACGGCCATCTTGAAATATGCTGAATAGGTGAACATACCATTATTTCACGCAGTTGTAAATGGCAGAAATGGAATCTGTGCCCCCGAAAACATATATTGACATAAAACACGACTACTTAATCAAAATCAGCAGATCGTCCCATTTTCCCGCCACAAAATGGCCACCATCATGGAAATATGCAAAACAGGTAGGCATGTGACCATTTTACCCAGTTGTAACTAGCAGAAATATATTGACACCAAATACGACTACTTAATCAATATTAGCACATCGTCCAATTTTCGAATCCCGCCACAAAATGGCCGCCGTCATGGAGATATACAAAATAGGTGAGCATGTGGCTATTTTTATACGCCCACATTTTCATGCGGACGTAAATTGTCGTCGCCCCTGTCCGTCCGTCCGTCCACAATTGTTTGTGAACACTCTACAGGTCACAATTTTTCTCGGTTCCTTTCGATATTGGCATGTATCGGACTGTAACTTTATGGATTATGGACCCTGATTGTACGAAAAATCAGGTATTTAGCTTGTGAACACTGTAGAGGTCACAATTTTTATCCGATTTGGTTTAAACTTGAAATGTATGTTTATAACCCATAGATCTCGGTTCCTGTCGATATTCGCGTATATCGGATCATAACTTCCTGAATTATGACCCCTGATCGCACGAAAAATCGCGTTTTTAGCTTGTGGACCCCATAGAGGTCACAATTTTTATCCGATTTAAAAAAAAACCGTTACAATATATCACCATAACACCCTAAGGGTGGTTGAGTTCGAATTTCGTAAAAATCTGACCGAAACTGACAGACAAAATGGCCGCTCCTCGTTCGCAAATAGTGTCAAAATATTGTGTATCAGGGCTGTGGACCCTCTGGAGGTCACAATTTTCATCCGATTTTGATGAAACTTGAAATGCAGGCTTATAACCCACAGATCTCGGTTCCTTTCGATATTCGAGCATATCGGACCATAACTTCCTGAATTATGGACCCTGACTGTACGAAAATCGCATTTTTAACTTGTGGACCCCATAGAGGTCACAATTTTTATCCGATTTAAAAAAAAACCTTTGAATATATCACCGTTACACCCTAAGGGTGGTTGAGTTCGAACTTCGTAAAAATCGGACCGAAACTGACGGACAAAATGGCCTCCCCTCGAAAGCAAATAGTGTAAACATCTGGTATATCAAAGTTGTGGACCCTCTAGAGGCCACACTTTTGATCTAATTTTGATGAAACTTGAAATGCAAGTTTATAACCCTAAGATCTCAGTTCCTGTCAATACTCATGCATATCGGATCGTAACTTCCTGAATTAAGGCCTCTGATTGTAAGCAAAATCGCGTTATTAGCTTGTGGTCCCTGTAGAGGTCACAATTTTTATCCGATTTAAAAAAAAACGTGTTAATATATCACCATTACACACTAAGATCATGGTTCCTTTTGATAATCGCGGATACCCGAAATTTTTTCCGATTTTATAAACCATAATGAAGGTGGAATTCGTATTTCGGGAATATTGAAATGAAACTGCCCCACAAAATCTGAAAACATTTATATTGACAACAAACACTACTACTTAATCAAAATCAGCACATCGTCTGATTTCCCGCCAAAAATGGTCGTCATCTTGGAAATATCTTCATGGAGTGATGGGAAAAAATCTGAAATACAGTCACGAACCCTGCCAATGTCACACCACAGTTGATAACATTATGAATAAGTTAAAAACAAAATATAAATTGGAATGTTATCGCATAATGGCTACCTTACAATTAATGGCGCCCCGTACTGTGAAGACCTACTCAGAAAAAATGTCAACATTGGTTTTTTTTTTTGTCATTAAACATCATAACCTTCAAAATAAAGCTTGTTCCACGATTTCTACCCGAAAAGCCGGCGGGTGGGAATTATGTAACAAACCGAATCGGACCACAATGCTAAATCTATGCTTTTTCTAGGCCTATAATATTTTCTTTAACATTCCAGTCATAATCTTTATAACCACAAAGAGCATACACTACAATTATTTGAAGAAATCTTGGAAGGGAGAGGGAGAGAGAGAGAGAGAGAAATGGGTTTAGCGTCCACTAGACACAAACTAGGTCAATTTTATTTCAATAATTCACTGTGCATGGGTCTTCAGCGGTGGGAGTAAATCGGAGGACTTGGAGAACCAGCGGCTGCCAGGCAGGATACGCCCACATTTTCGAGAGATGGAAAGAGAACAAGCTAACAAGAAAGTGATTTTTCCTACTATCAAGGGCCATAATTTAGGAAATTACAATTCAATATGCGCGAATATCGAAAGGAACTGAGATCTTTGTGTTATAAACTTACATTTCAAGTTTCAACAAAATCGGATAAAAATTGTGACCTCTATAGGGTCCACAACCTTGATATACCATATTTTTACGCTATTTGAGAACGAACGGCGGCCATTTTGTCTGTCAATTTTGGGCCGATTTTCACGAAATTCGAACTCAACCTTTCTTAGGGTGTAACGGTGATATAATAATATGTTTTTTTTAAATCGAATAAAAATTATGACCTCTACAGGGTCCACAAGCTAAAAACGCGATTTTTCGTACAATCAGGGGCCATAATTCAGGAAGTTACGGTCCGATATGCGCGAAGATCGAAAGGAACCGAGATCTTTGGGTTATAAGCTTACATTTCAATTTTCAACAAAATCGGATAAAAATTGTGACCTCTATAGGGTCCACAACCTTGATATACCATATTTTACGCTATTTGAGAACGAACGGCGGCCATTTTGTCTGTCAATTTTGGGCCGATTTTCACGAAATTCGAACTCAATTCTTAGGGTGTAACGGTGATATAATAATACGGTTTTTTAAATCGGATAAAAATTATGACCTTTATAGGGTCCACAAGATAAAAACGTGATTTTTCGTACAATCAGGGGCCATAATTCAGGAAGTTACGGTCCGATATGTGCGAATATCGAAAGGAACCGAGATCTTTGGGTTATAAACTTACATTTCAAGTTTAAAAAAAATCGGATAAAAATTGTGACCTCTATAGAGTCCACAAGCTAAAAACGTGATTTTTGGTACAATAAGGGGCCATAATCCATGAAGTTTCGATCCGATACATGCCAATATCGAAAGCAGCCGAGATCTTTTGGGGTTAAACCTATATTTCAAGTTTCGTCAAAATCGGATAAGAATTGTGACCTGTAGAGAGTCCACAAACGATTGTGGACGGACGGTCGTCCGGACGGACAGGGGCGACGGCATAATACGTCCACATGAAAATGTGGGCGTATAAAAACTACAAGGTTGTACAGGCGATCGTCATTACAAACGGGGAATTGAGCAAATAGTGATGGGGATTAATTTTTCTCTGCAAGATCAAAGGAATCTACATAGCTGAGACCTTATTTTCAAAAGTGCTTTACCGGATTTCCACATAACAGGTTTATACATATAAATCGGATATGGGGTAGGGTAAGGGAGGATTTTCTACAACTTTAATATGGGGAAAAAAATACCGACTAACTTCCAAATATATAATGAAAACAAAGTAACTTATTTCCTTTTTACTATCTGTTATGTTTTATGTACATGTATGAAAAGTGAGATTGGATCTCATTACAAATAACAAATTATGTTTCACTGCTGAATTCTTACAAACAAACTGGGGGGAAAAACCATGAACAAATTTGTCTAGAAAATTGATTATTAATACATGTATATCTTCAAAAAAAAAAGCCAACAGTGAGGCTGATGTCCCCCGACAGACGAACCCATTTTAATAGCCCCCTGCTTTCTTCAAAAGGCGGGGGCCAGGGGACAAAAAAAAAGGGTTTTATTTTTCCCTACAAACAATAACATACTAAACAAAACAATTTAACCAATACCAGCAAACGTTAACTGAATTGAAATATGTAAGTTTGTACAAGCATACTGGTTTATAATAATGACATAATTAAAAGCTTTCACGATGAAGAATAATGTAACAGTTCTGAAACTGCACCATGTATTCACTTTTTTCAATGAACATAATATTGTTTAATGTGTCAATCCTATATTGTAGTATAACAAACGACTATATAAGTCTACAAACAAAACAATGTTTAAGCACACAATAGAATTACAGTCAGAAATAGGTTTTATCATTTTATGGGTGTTGAATTAGATTCATCTTTGAAATGAGTTCACTGTGTATGAAATGTCTGTCAAATGATATTTTAGGTATCAACATCTATTTATTTCATGTATTTGCCTTCATGTTGAGCCAGGTGCTTTGCTGAAGCTTTCGCATCAAAAAATAACTGGCTCATTTCTTCCACTTCTTCTTTTCCAATGCATTCTTTTCCATTTATGTGCGCTAAAATATTACCTGGTGTCAAAAGTTGAACAGCATAACGTAAGGTACTTGTCTTGCCAATCTCAGCCAAACTCTGTAATGAATCGTCATCAATCTGTATCACCTCTGTCTGACTCCTGATGCGTAAAATTTGTGCCATTTCTTCAGCAGAATATGTCGTTGTTCTTATAATCATAATACGATCAAGTAAATCAAGTGGCATGCCGTGTGGTGCAACAATGTCATCAGTCCCTTTAATCACACAGTTTCCTCTATTTGTAGCAAATATAACAATTGGAGCAATGGTAGACTCTAAAGCTCTATGTAAATACGTAAAACACTCAATGTCAAGCATGTGAACTTCATCAATAAATAGAACACCGGGAACCAGTTCTGCAATTCCCTGATCAATGTACTTATTCACAACTTTGTTGATTTCTTTACGTAACTTGTCTGTGATCTCTGTCTTTTTAGGTTTCATAAGTTGTCCCATCATTGACATGATGTCTTGTCCTCCTTGTGGTCGAGCATTAGCAACATCTAAATCATGAAGAGTGACATCTTGGATGACTTCTTTTTTCTTGTGAACATCTCCTTTCGGTAAAGGAACATATTCTTCTGCCTCTAAATCAAATTCGGTTGCAAAACTATCAGATCTTCCTTGTCTTTTGACAGCACCACTGTTAGACTCGATGTAAATGACATCCCCTACCTCTACCTTTTCTTTTTGCAAACTTTCATAGATTGATGGATCTAGTTTTAGTTGTTTTGTGCCTTTTGACGTTTTTAATCCAATGATAACATGACTGATTGTTTTGCCGTAACCTCCCATTGGATTTTCTGTTTCAACAGGAGTGAGTTCAGTTACTTCACCATCGTAGACTTCCTTGGTTTCTTTGATTCTCAACCCAATTGCTCTCCTAAAATTTTCCATTAAAACTTCAGTTTTCTTTATTTCAGACGAATAAACTTCACTTCCAACCATGGGACAGAATGGAACTTTGGTACCCAATTCCTGCGCAATCGCCAATGCTATAGCCGTCTTTCCTGTTCCTGGTGGTCCTGCTAAAAGAACAGCCCGTCCTGCCATTTTCTTTGATTTTATAAGTTCCACAATTATCCCAGCAGCTTCACGTGCCTCGGTCTGTCCGACCAATCCTGCTGCATTTTGAATCGCATATCCATTGTCATCAAGTCCCAGGCCCTTGACATGACTGTGGGATGCAATTCTCTGGGCTTTTGACGTACTTTTTACTTCCTCGATCTTCATTCTACTATTTCGTAAATGATAAAACCCAATTTCATAGATTAAAACTGTGGATGTTTTCGACAAGCACGCGTTTCTCTAGCGACACTGAAGCGCCACCTGTGATGATATAAAATTTTGACAAGGACTATTCGATCAAGACTGGTACAGTTTTCAAGGCTTTACAATATTTATGTAATTTAATATTATACAGTGATGTATAACAGTTTTGAGCAAAATTTAAATATTATACAATTTGTCGTCCGTAAAATTTGCAATTTAGGTGGAATAGACGTGACATTGCCAGCCAAAAAAAAAAAAAAAAAAAAAAAAATACACGCTCCAAGACATGTTTTATATATCCAGATTTCCTTCAGTTCAACGTCCAACCATAGAAATATATACAGACGCAGATTGCGATAATCTCCACAAATTGCTATATTATTCTTCTCCAGATAGTTAGTTAATAGTTCAAAAAGAGGAGGGGATTTAAGTCGTTTTTACACAGAAAGGTATTAATATACACCTTTAAGAGCACTGGTGTATTCAAGACAGTTTTTGTCGACAAAAAAAAAACAAAAAAAAAAAAATAATAATTGGACTCGGACTAACACATATGTGTGCACTTCTCCGACAACACTCTGCAATGCATATTATCTATTTACATGCCTATTCATAGTCTCGTTGTGTGATAAAGTTATATATAAAATGTAAAAGCAATTTTCATATCAGTTGCCTGGAGGGATACCATGTAAGCTTTTGGTAAAACTTTTAAATGGGCTATTGCAATTTATTTCACAGATCCGAGTTAATTCGAAAGCCTTCTTCTAACTCTGATGACTGACCTTTATAAGTTCAAATGCCTTCTACGCGTGGCCTCAAATCACACGGTGTCGATCATTTGCTCGTTATCGCGTACATTGCGTAAACAAGACGTAACGTAAACTGGTCCGGGCAGAATGGCGACTTTTACGCATTTTATGTACCCATTTAGGCCTACATTAAATAGGAAATATTTTTTATCCAGATATACTTAAACACATTTATATATTTTTCTAATACTTAAAAAAAAAATGTTCTAGAATTTAATTTGCAGAAAGAAAAAAGTAAATATTGTGAGCTAAGTAACCCACACCGATGTCATCACTCTCAATGATTGTAGCGGCCTAGCGAATTTTCATTTCTGTTCAGTTTGGGACTATTGTAACTCTGAATATCTAGCTGTGTTAGTTAGAATTTTTTTTAAACATTAGTTCCCTTATCTAAAAGATCTTCTAGATTTCGCCAACATAAAATTAAAATGGTATATCTTGCTATATCATAGCTTACGTAAATCAAATTTCTGCTTTCAGTGATAAAAAACTTTGTTTGGCATCCCCAAAGTTTATAGACAAACTATGGCGCTTCGTCGAATTTCTATGGGTTACTGCATTCCATACCTTGGAAAATCTGGAGTTATTCTCTTACGTCAACCAATCCATACAAGAAATACTGAGATTTCAAAACATTTTAAACTAAGAGAAGTTTCGTGTGAAAAAGACAACAGACCCCTTGTTCTTTTATTCGACTGGTTGTATGCTAAGCCCTCTGCTGTAAATAAATACTGTGATTTATATCATCATTGTGGTTTAGATGTTTTGACAGTAAGTGGCCGCGTATCCCAATTTCTGTGGCCACCAAATGCAGTGAAGTTATCAGAAGAACTAATGTCGTATCTTTTATTTGAAAGAAAACCACAGAAATACCTCGTCCATGCCTTTTCAGTGGGGGCTTATAATTACGATGTTGCTTTGTATCATGCTTTTGAAAATTCAGATAAATATGGTAAGTTCAGATCACGGATTCAGGGTCAGATATTTGACAGTGTTACAATTGGAAGTTATGAAGTTATGTGTCGTGGCTTGGCTACTAATCTACCTCAAAACCGAATAATTCAAAAAAGTATTTTAACAATTCTTGACACATATTATAATTTAACAAGTGAACATACCAAGGATCAGTACAACAAACTTGTTGATTTCTTTAAAGACAAACCAATAAAAGTGCCAACTCTATTGTTTTATGCCAAAAACGACCCCATGTGTGACGTGGTTTCCATGGAGATGATGATATGTAAATGGCAGAAAATGGATAATTTTGATATCACCTTTAAAGGATGGGATGATTCTATTCACTGTGCTCATCTTAAGTGTCACCCACAAGACTATCGTAAAAAATGGACAGAATTTATGCAAAAAGTGAACATTGCTTCTTCTACTGTGTAATAGTATAAATGCAATCTACCACAAAGAAATGCCAACAATGTGAACTAGGAATATTGCATTAGATATAATATTATAAAGTAATGTTGTTATGTGTAATGTATATTGCATAGTCTTTGTGTGTTTCTCTGTGGCTAAGTTCTATGATAATCGTCACTGCATTTATTTTGTAGAACTTTGAAATTTTGTGACCTAATCATGATAGTCTATCCCAATCGCGTTATTCCCTTCCGTCAAGTCCCATGTTCACAATTTATTTAATTCAAAACATTTAGCGGGGAGGGGGATTGGATGACCGAATGGTTAGCACGTGCGCGCTGTATCATAAGGCCTGTCATGGAGTCAACAGGCGTGGTTTCGAATCCCCGGTTGTACGTGACAAGGAGTAGGGTTGCCTGTCTAACCTCGTGGGTTTTCACCGGGTCCTCCGGTTCCCTCCCACTGCTAAAGACCCCTACGCGCAAACGCATTATTGAAATAATAAAAAAAAACATATGTTAGTCCCGAAATGTGTCAAGTGGACGTTAAACCCCATTTCTCCCTCTCTCTCTTTTAACGGGGAGTTATAAGTCATCTGTTAACAAATGAAAAAAAAAAACAACTGAATATAGGAGTCCTCCTAATGAATATTGTAAAACAACACACTTATGTGACAAGTGTCACGGTCGTGTGCTTCATTCTTTATCGTCAGATGGTGGGATGGAATGGGCATTAAAAGCGTGCGATAATGATGTAGACATATGCGATATCACAATTAATGCTTTGCATCAGTGAAATTGAATTACAATGTGATCCTATTAATTCATCATAATAAAAATTGACGTGAACCTGGGTGTTGGATTTCTTTCTTTAAAAAGCTGTGTGTATGTATGCCTACGTAATTTGGAGACGATGATGGCATCATGCATTGTCAACTGTCAAAAATGTCCATAACAGGAACCTGGCAAACTCCCTCCTGCAAAAATTCCTGATATTCGTTGTGTTTAATTACGTCACGATTCAACTCATACCACCTCCGTTTTCGGGACTGAGATAATTGTGACAGACTGAATTCCACGTCACTCGATTGCATCTCGAGCATCCCCTAAATGTCACGAAGCGATCACTTGAAAATCCTGGCCTATAACTACATAATATATGAGAGTTCCATAAGATAACCATAGACTATACTACTAAAGTATGAATAACTGCCCGTTATGAACAAACGAGTTTATTGATGTATACACAAACTATTACCAAATAATTTGTAGTAGCCTTTTGGACATTGAAACCATTGGAACAGAGTTTAGTACTTCATTCCCAGGACACTTGATTAATACCAAATCTTATTTGCAATACAGGTCAGTCAGCACTATCTCTGTCCAATCTGAAGGACAGACCCACCTACCTGCCGATAAAAAAGCCAGCTACCATTTAATTTTCGTATGTTAGTTACGTACCTATCTCTCTTAACTATCTCGGCCATGGGACCTCCAGTCCAGGTTAGCGAGTCAACGTCTTGTTTTTCTTGTAAATAGGCGAGGCAACGTCTTACCCACCGAGCCACCGCGACTCCTATGGGAAATAGAATTTCAGCAATTTTTAGAAATGAAATGGGGTTTAACGTCCTACTGGGCTAATGAAGACGGGCATATGCCATACAGTGTGCTATGAGGGAAATTTTTCCCGGCCCACTCTTATATCGAATGCCAACTGCCATGGGATCTTTTACGTGCACGCCAATGTATACACGGGACCTTGGTTTTTCGTCACATCCGAACGACTAGACAGCTGTCCTTGTCAGGCCCTCCGTCCTGCACCACTGACAAGGGGGTCGAACCACGTCGGAAAATCCGACCTCTAGGTTAGCGAGCCAGAGTCATCACCCAGCCAGCCACCGTGGCTCCAGCAATTTTTAGAGCAAAATGCGCACAGAACTGCAGTATATTCTGTGTGTCTTTGCTGATAAATAAACACAATAATGGCTATACCTTCACTAACAAAATATTATAGGCCTGCTATATAGGCTTAATAGATAGTAATGGATTGATTTTTTCGGGTAATGGTAAACAATCATATTAATCTCGTTGTTGGCAGAACTCCGCAGAACGCAAATAACACCACAGTGATCAGCAGGGAATATTCGCTAGGTCAATCATTGGCTCAATGTCGCGTGCTTTGTTTACATAAAAGTTTACTGGTTCGGGCGGAATGGAGCCTTTTACTCGTTCTAATACCCATTTACACTAAATAGGCAATAATTTTACCTACAAATACGTCAAACGTCTTTATTTATTTTTCTAATACATAAAAAAAAATGTTTTAGAATTTAATTTGTCGGAGGAAAAAAGTTAATATTTGTGGCTCATTAAGTCGCATCGATGTCATCCTTATCAGTGATTGTCGCGGCCTAGCCAATATTCACTGCTGATCAGTGTTCTATGATTAGTATTACACCGAAAAGATACGTGCATGATCCTTGTCAAAAGTTTATATTATGTTGCTTAATTTTGCAACCCAGTTACCCCCCTTGGCAAAAGCGAAACTCCGAAAATTCCACTCTAAAAGTCACAAAATATAAACACACAAGACAAGAAGAATGTTTTGATTCTGTTTTATCTTAGATATTATTCGCTGTGACATTTTTATCACAGTAGACATGGATATATTTTCTGACAAACATACACAGAATAATAGAACTGGCGATTTGTAATCAATCATTCGATTCAGTTCCAAATCAAATCCAGTACGAGTACGTAGATCAAGTGGAGAGGGTAACAACGCGTAGGTATATCATAATGTCCAAAATAGCCCCAAAACTATGTAGCTCCCAATACCATGCTATTGCAAATAATAAATTTAATTGTTCCCCGCCTCACGAAGAAAGCAGGGGACTATTAAAATGGTCTGTCCATCTGTCTTTGTTCTGCTCCGAACTGGGCTAATGAAGTCGGGCATAGTACAGTACTACTATTACTATTAGTAGGCCTATACACCATAGACTACACTACAGTGTGCTATGAGGTAAAGTTTGCCAATGTGTACACGGGAACTTGGTTTTTGCGTCCCATCCGAACGACTAGACAGCTGTTCTTGTCAGGCCCATCCGTCCTGCAGCACTGACAAGTGGGAACCACGCCGGACAATCTTGATGAACTTTCTCGGCCAATGCAGGGATCAAACACCCAACCTCCAGGCTGGCGAGCCAGCGTCTCACTCAGTTAGCCCACTTGGTGTAGGTTTTTATTAAGTGAATGCTTTGATGGAGTTCGAAAATGAACATTTTCTGCTTAGGGTAAGCAGAGATAAGCAATTTGATTGGTTGATGCTTTGGGACACGATAACTTTGGTTCTAATTAAGTGAGAGTAAGCAGAGCGATAAGCAATTGGATTGGTCGAGACTTGGAAGCTGGACAACTTTGATTCTAATTGAGTGATGGTGTAACAATACCATAAAAAAGTTTGATGCTGCGCATTTTATGCTTAGGCAGAAATAAATACTTCAATCTGATTAAGAAGACAATAACTCTCCTTCTAACTGAGGTAGAATGTTCAAACTTGGTGTAGGTGTCTATTAGGTGAATGCCTTGACAGAGTTTGATCATGTGCATTTTCCACTACTAAGCAGAGATAAGCAATTTGACTGGTTGGGATTTTGGAACATGATAACTTTGGTTCTAATTGGGTGAGAGTGATGAAACTCCGAGATGTCCGAGTATAGATTCTTTAATTCAGGTAGAATGTCTTGACTGAATTCAACGATTGACATTTTCTGCTAAAGCAGAGCTAAGCAATTTCATTGGTCGATACTTTGTGTCCCCAAGTTTGGGACAAGATAACTTTGATTCTAACTAATAAAGAGTGACGAAATTTAGTGTAGTGTTTCGCTACCAGGTACGTACTTCAAAACTTTGACTGTTTGATCGTGAATATTTTATGATTAGACTAAGGATAGATAATCGGTTTGATTGCTCGATACTTTTGAAAAAGATAAATGTGCAATTAAAGATACATTATGGGAGATAAGATAAAGAGCTGGCAGTTTTCAATATAATAGTTAAAAACTAGATAATGTAAAGGGAATTTTAGGTTTAGCCTCGATTATCCTTACTAAAGTTATAAACAACATAGTCTCGATTATCCATTTTTTGATTTAATCATCAATGAGCATTGAGCAGCAGATCGGATTCAAATCCAGTAAATAGTGCAGACTAGCAATGACATCGAGAGTTGATTATGTTCTGGATAAATTAATGTCTAATTAATAATTTAGATAAAATTTCAGGCCTAAAGAAAGACCTGCAATAGGCAGATTTAGCTCTTGCATAATGTATGTTTAATTAATATATGTCATCTATTTATTTTGGGATTTTGGTAGGGGACGTTAGCCTCACTGTTGGCTTGTTTTTACCCTGCATTTATTGAAATAAATTGTAATATTTATTGAAATAAATTGTAATATTTATTGAAATAAATTGTAATATTTATTGAAATAAATTGTAATATTTATTGAAATAAATTGTAATATTTATTGAAATAATTTCTAACATTGCTTTGTTTGTTATATTACAGATTATGACCTACTCTCAACAAATGGAAGAGAAATTAGTGAAAACCGAACGAAGACTAAGACTAAAAGGATCACAAGGCAAGAATCTACGTGTTGTAAGAGAATTGTACCTTAGAGATGATGTACCATGTCAGAGTGACCGATGTTTGGCAAACTGTGAAAATAACATTGGTATGGTAATGATCCCAGACTTAATTAAAAATAAAAATCCTGTTGTTTTTTTTAAAAAAAGAAATTGGTCTTTGTTTATTTTATACATGGAATTTGAATTTGCTAAAATGTTTACATTTTCTGACTTGCAAATTTACAAAATGATTTATCAGCTAAATATTTTCAATATGTACCAAACATTGAGATAGAAATACAGACAACAAGAGGTTTATAAGCTTATTCAAGGAATGCCAAGCAGTCCTGTAAATGTTAGAAGCTTGTAGACTATCATGACACTAGTAATTTTAAAAGAATGGTATAATATTTAATTGCAGGTATGCATGGTACCATAGGAAGATTATCAAATGAGTCAACACATTATATAATACCTGATTGTCAAGTTGCTAGAGACTATTTAGAAATACTTGAGACACCTGATATAAAAGGGATTGTTTTTACACAAACAGCTGTTCATAGTGTAAGTAAGCTGATCTCCAATCTCACGCCTACCAGGTATATTGACGGATCCATGCAAGTCAAACAATTAGGACATTGGTCTCTTGACTACAATGTGTGGTATTCGAATTTCAGCTTTGCATGATCTTTAAGTATAGATTTTGCTGATCCATTTAGATGGAACAAAAAATGATTGACGTCCAAATAAAAGGAAGCCTTGAAAGTTAGAATTCAAGGCCGAGTGGAGAAAGGTCTGGCCGAATTTGTGATTCCTAGTATTTCACTGGTAAAAGAATATATAAATAACTGTGTGTTAGTCTGAAAATAACCAAAGTATTGATATCTTTAAAATTGAAAACAATCTGTATTCTAGGTACAACATGAAGGCAGTAAAAGATTACACACCCGTTTACAGAATCTGATAAAAGATGGTAGAAAAAGATCAGTTATGTTCCACAATGAATTTCAAAGATATGCTTACTGTGAACGATTACCTGGGGAAAACCTTGTTCAGTGGCAAAGCAGGTCATTATATTTATCGTAAATAAATAAGATTTTTGTTGATTTGGTCAGTTTGTATAATTGGTGTAGAAATAGCTCATGTTCAGTCTGCATTACCAAGACTGCAAAGTCATTTTGAGACTAGCATATTAATACTGTTCAATCAGATTTTTTTTAATTTTATAAAATTGTTTAGAATGATTTTTTCTTATAGAAGTACATATAAAGCCTGTGAATGGTATTATGATCATTTAGCTGGTCAAATTCCTATGGTGATGTTGACCCATAATGAAGAGGTAAGAGAAATCCAGGAAGGAAAACTATATTTAAAGGAGAACTTTTATCCTTGACCAATACATGTATTTCAATTGGTAGACAATTTTTGTCTCATGATATTAGAATTTTAGGTTCTGGTTTCACACTTGCCACTATGTATGATTCTCTGTTAAAATGGTAGATAAACAAAAGACCTTTATAGGATTTTACCTTAATTATTTGCTCTAGAATATGAGAGGTCTGTGTAAATTGTGTAAACTATACACATTTCTTAATGAAAAGACTGTAGTTGAATCTGATTTGTATAATTAGACCGTTCATTGAAACGGACCCCATCTTTCAATTATAAAAGTATATAAGGTTTGCTATTTTAATTAAGAATTTTAACTTTTAAGACATCTATCGTTGTTGGAATCTTGAATTTAATTGTCTTAATGTAGGCCTACACAAAGAAACAGCCAAACTTAAACAATTTCATTTTTGATTAATGTACATGCTGTGTTGATTGTTAAATTTTATTGCCTTACTGTACATGAAAAAAACCAAAAAAAAACCCAGCCAATCTTAAATAATTTCAGTTTTTATTATACGCCCACATTTTATGTGGATGTATATTGTTGTCACCCCTGTCCGTCGGTCCGTCCATCCGTCCACAATTTGTCTGTGGACAATCTACAGGTCACGATTTTTATCCGATTTTGATGAAATTTGAAATATAGGTTTATCTCCAAAAGTTCTCGGTTTCTTTCGATATTGGCATGTAATTGATCGAAACTTCATGGATTATGGCCCCTGATTGTACGAATAATCATTTTTTTAGGTTCTGGACCAGTGATGGGATTTCAAAATTTTTCTTGTCGGACATTTTTTTCACGAAAATAAATGGGCACAACTCTTATCGTTATTTAAGCAGGCATTTTCAAACCACAATTAAGAATCATGTGTCAACAAAATATTCAAATTCATACGTAATAAAAAAATTGGTGCACCTCGTTATTTTTCATGTTTAATTCCCGTACGGTATTCAAATTTATGTCAATAATATTCCTACAAAATTACATGACATCGTAATACCATAGAATGAAAGCGTGTCAATACGCACCTGTTTCAAATTCCCCCCAAATTACCGTATGTTTTGGGTCATAAATCGATACATTTTTCTACAAAATGTCTGGCATTCGTCTTATACTCCGTTTCGACTTGTATACGGAAGGTAAAAAAATGACATCCCGAAATTTATTTGGCAGTAAACATCGCTCTTCCACACAGGCGAGTGACACCAACTGCTAAATAATCGCATTGAACTCTAGCAAGTGCTATCGTCTAAAACAATTAACTACTTACGTTATTCCAATCGATATATTCATCAACATTTCTTAGCGTGTTTATTTATTTAAAAACATAAACCCCATTCAAAATATGATCATAAATCCGACAATATGCCATCAAAATAAAATCTTTTCTCCGACATCAGAAGTATTAAATTTGGTATGTTTACATCTCCTAATTTCACATGTCTCGCGAGATTTCTACTTTCATTTCAATTACTGTACTATAACCGCCATGCGTGTGTATGAAATAGCTTTATTTAACTTCGGCTTCCACCGAAGAAATATCACAGACAAGTTATTGGATACAATGTATATTGATTTGGGGTGTTATATATACTATTAGGATATGTTACATATATGACTAATTGATTCCTACGTGTTGTCGGCCGACATCAAGGAGATTGAAACATCTGACAATGGAGAATCACTGGTTAATCACGTAGATTAAGTTTATAATCACTCTTATTGGATTGATATATATTCCGACAAAGGAGAAGCAATGACTTCTGTTCAGGATTGGATTGATGAATTGTCCGACAAAGGATTAATCAAGGCAGATTAAGTAGTTGATTGAGGTAGGTGTATAGACGGTATAGCATGATAAATATGTCGACCACTTAATTACCTAATCAATCCAGCCTATTATCAATGATAATCGGGTTGAATGGTAGTTACACACTCAGTACACTATATTAATTTTGGAATTTTGAATATTATTCACCATGTCTTGAATATTCCTGATCGGACATTTTAGGATGTTTGGAAAATAGCGTCGGACATGTCCGGAATATACAGGCGAAATCCCATCACTGTTCTGGACACTCTAAGAGGTCACAATTTTCATATGATTTTGATGAAACTTGAAATGCATGTTTATAACCCAAAGATCTTGGTTCCTTTCGATATTTGCGCATATCAGATCTTAATTTCCTGAATTATGGCCCCTGATTGTACTATAAATAACATTTTTAGCTTGTGGCGGTCACAATTATTATCCGATTTAAAAAAACGTTTAAATACATCAATGAAGGTCGAGTTCAAATTTCGTAAAAATCTGACTCAAACTGCCGGACAAAATGGCCGCTCTTTGTACACAAATAGTGTAATAGCATATAATACCAAGGTTGTGGACACTCTAGAAGTAGACATCACAATTTTTATTTGATTTTAAAAAGCGTTTAAATGTATCACCGTTACACCCTAATGACGGAGTTCGAATTTCATGAAAATCGGAACAAAACTGCCTGACAAAATGGCCGCTTCTTGTACTCAAATAGTGTAAAAGTATGTAATACCAAAGTTGTGGACTCTCTAGAAGTAACAATTTTTATCCGATTTTGATGAAACTTAAAATAATATATCTTTATATCCCAAATATCTCAGTCCCTTTCTATATTCGCGTATTTCAGACCATAACTTCCTGGATTATGGCCCCTGATTGTACGAAAAATCATTTTATTTTTTTTTTTTAGCTTGGTCTCTGTCCATCTCTTGCAAAAAGTGGGTGTATTAATTTACTGGCTGTGTGGGATTGTTATTATTTTCTATATTGAGATTATTTTTGTAGGCCATTCAATTATATTCTGATAAGAAAGTAAATGTGTTTGTGATGACAGTAAAAGATTATTTGACTGGATTCTGGGAACAGTTAGAGGGAATTATGGATTTGTATGAATCTTTAACAACAGCTTTAGAAAATAAATCAAAAGGTGAAGGCTTGTCATAATTTAATTTGAATTTGGGGGAATGCATGCTTAGTCAGAAAAACCAAAAAATTAAGGGATACCTGTTACTCAGTATTTACAAATATTATGAAAAAAATTTAACTTTTCAGTTACCCCTTCATTTACAGTAATATGCCTCATGAGTCTTTTTTTTTCAGATGGTCCCTATTACTTAGAGCTTGTACACTTTATGATAATTTATTAGCTCGAGGCAAATTGTTAACATTTAACTACTTAAACAAGGCTAATAAACACCCAAACTGGACATTTTTTAAGTAAAGTAATATGTATGCCTTTATTTTTTTATTGTTTTCTGGTACTAAAAAATTTATAATGAAGGCAGGTATGATAACCATGATATTACCTCACTATTGGGCTATGAACTATTTTGATCTATAAAGTCCTGATTATAGTGGATACTTATATACCAGTTAATGTATTAAAGGTTGGTATTAATTGTTTATATTTTACAGATCGTGATTATAGTGGATATTTACCACTTGATGTATTAGAAGCTGGTATTAAATCTGGAAGATACATACAGGGCATATTAGAAGTTAACAGACACAATGCATCTACAGAGGCTTTTGTAAGAAGATCAGGGTATGTCATTTATCAAAAGAATAAAATGTATCTAATTCTAAAATATACATACGATAGTAGAAAAGTACAAAATATCGTCTGTGAAAGGAGACACCCAAGATATATATTTCAATGAATAAAACTGTTAATTGTGTATGGAAGGCTCTTATTATAGTCCCAAGCAACTATCTGAAGCTCTGTCAGGTGGAGTTGGAGACCAGCATCTTGACTGGCTATCACTTTTGCTTGGATAAACCTGTCTGTTCTATAACTCAGATACATTCATGGTTTACCATGATTAATACAATTTTTAAGATTATTGCTGCATTTTGATAACCTCTTTGCTAAGTTTTATGAAAAGTATTGAATAGTCATGGTCACTTAAAGTAACTGTGTATCATTTGCATTTTTCGGAAAATATCAAATATCTCACAGCTTTATTAAGAAAACAAAATCAAATATGAAAGCTAGTTGTAGCCTGTTTGCTTGGGACAAATAAACTATAACCAAAGTAAAATAGTCATCTGTGTAAGAGAGGTAAATTCTGTGATAAATTTATATTTTATTATACAGAAGACTGAAAAAAGTTGATAGTGTAGACGATATATTTATACATGGTATGGTATCTAGAAATAGATCAATACATGGGGATAGAGTTGTTGTAGAAATTTTACCTCAATCACAGTGGAAGGGAAGATCTTTAGCCATAAGCCCAGCTGAAAGTGAAGGTACTTATTCTTAATAAAACAAAATAATAAAATATGTTCCAAACTGTATTTACAAGATAGAAGATGGTGTGTAAAGCTATATTTTTATATTTTCACTAAAGAAGAAGCTGTTTACCTTCCAAATTCTAACAAAGGATGGCCCAATTTAGTCTTATTAATAGAGCATCTTAAGATATAAGATAATATTTATATAGAGTAAGGAGTAAGTAGAATATGTATTTTATATTTATTATAGAGTAAGTATAATATATATTTTAGATAAATCATCTGCTGATGATAAAGAATCAGATAGTGTTGTACCAACAGGTATTATAGTAGGTATATTACAGAGAAACTGGAGAGATTATGTGGCTACATTTTCACCTGATGAGGTAATCATCATACTACCATACTTCTAAAGTGTAAAATACAATATTGTTATAGTTAGGTTTATGTGATGGTGAATGTCAAGAACATTAGAAATAAATCAAGTTTCATTCTGGAATGATAGGAATTTTGAGCAATTGATAAACTTCTAGGATGGATTTTTTTTAGGGAGTGTGGGGTGGGGGCTTTTATTTCTGCTAATAAAATGAGTTTCAACAACTATAGTTAGAAAAATCTAGTAGTTTGGATCAGTAAATGAGCTTACCGCGCAGGTTGCAACTTGGACATCAATCTTTGAATTGAAATATGTGGAAAAAGTTCCTAATATTTATTGGGATATTTTAGTTTATATTTAAATAATGTTTGTAATATTGTTAGAACTATTAGTTTATATTTAAATAATGTTTGATACAGATCTAATTGTTCATATTTGAATAATGTTTTTTATTATTAAATCTATTACTGTTAGTGTATATTTGAATAATATTTGTCATTGTTAGAACTATTAGATTATATTTAGATAATGTTTGTTCTTATTAGGTCTGTTAGATTGTATTTAAATATTTGTTACTGTTAGATCTATTAGTTTATATTTAAATAATATTTTTTATTATTAGATCTATTAGATCATATTTAAATAATTGTGTTTTATTTCAGGAAGGTAATAAAAATGTTAATAAGGGTGGTAAAGTCTTAGTTATACCGTATGATTATAGAATTCCTAAGATAAGAATTAGTACACGACAGATTGATAAACTCAGAGAACAGAGGTATGTTATGAGATTGGCTTATAAGTTGGATGTATTTATTCATAACATTGAATTTTGGGACCAGAAACTGAGCCCCTTTGTTCTACTTTGGGACGATGCTCCTCGAAAAAAGCCTATAGTAGGCTTCACCAATTCAATAACGATTGACATGAAACGAGGCATGCTTGTTCCTTGCACCATTGCACATAAATTGACAGACCTCAATTTTCTATATGGTGTCGCAATTCCATAATGGCAGCGATGACATCATGCTTGGTTCATGGTCGATAGTAAGCTTGTACTTTTGAATCAATTACCAGTTGTATTTATTTTGTTAGTCACTCCATATTGTCTATGAAAATTTTTTCTTACAGAGTACTAGTCAGACTTGATTCATGGGAAATGGACTCTCAGTATCCAAACGGACATTTTGTAAGAAGTCTTGGAATGTTAGGTAATTTGGAAACGGAAGTGGCTACCTTGTTGGTAGAGAATTCAATACAAGCCCTTCCATTTACTGATAACCAGGTTTGATTTTTTTTAATTATTTACATTTATATATTCAACAAGTTCAGATATTTCCTCCTTGTTGTTTATTTCTCAAATCATGCATGATTATTACATGTCTGTGGCATGTATGATGGGTTTTCTCTAATCATGATTATTTATTTAAAATCATAGAAACCTCCATTAAAATTCTTATGAACAAGAGATTTTTTCCATTTTTTTCAAAAACTGGTAAGAGAGAATTTAGGAAGTGTTTACAACATAAAAGTTATATACCAGGGTCCGTATTCAAAGGTTTTCTTAAAGTTAAGTAAAAACACAAAATTTTTCCACATAACTGACTGTATTATCTTAAATCGGTATTCAAAGGTTGTATTTTACATATATACTCAAAGCCATTAAAAATGAAATGCGTAATTCGTGAAATATTTCTGGTAAACGTTTTCTTGGGCTTTCCTATCTTATGGCACATAAGTGAAACTTGTGATGGGTCTCTTTTTGTGGAATTCTGGGTTTGAACCCAATATTAGTTCTCGGTAATGAACTTTGTTCGAGCAAACGCAACACTTGTCTTTTTTCACGATTTTAAGCAGTCCCATGTCACACGTTTTGCATGTGCATTCCCTGCACTCTGGCCCTTTAAATAGAGATCAAAATTTCAACATTCAACACTTCGGAAAAATGCCACGCCTTACACAAGAAAACAGGAACAGAGCTATTGGCATGCTGGATCAGGGGGCATCACAGGTAGCCATCGCCAGACACTTTAATGTCCACCCATCGACAATTGCTCGCCTCAGACAAAGCTTCCATGCCACTAGAAGAGTTGCCAATCGACCCCGACCTGGAGCGCCACCTGTAGTAACAACCTCTGCTCAAGATGGCCATATCCGACTACAGCATCTGTGCAACAGGTTCCAGTCAGCTACTCTACTGCCACGGGGACTGCTGGAACATGGCAACGTCAGATCAGCCCAAAAACAATCCGAAGGCGTCTGGCTGCTCTTGGGGGTACGCTGCCGTCGACCTTACCAAGGTCAAATCCTTTTGCATCGTCATCGACTTTCCAGACAGCAATGGGCCGCAAATCAGGGGTATCTGCACAACACACCATGGCGAAATGTCATCTTGGATGAATCCTGATTCAACCTCAGTTTTCCAGATATGGACATCACCGTATCTACCAATGTCCACATCAACGCTTTGCTTGTAACTGCGTGCTGGAAAGGGATCGTTTCGGGGGAGTTGGCGTCATGGTTTGGGATGCTATCAACGTCAACTTTCGGTCCCTGTTGGTGGTGGTCCAAGGCAATCTCAACGCTCAACATTATGTTGACACCATCCTTCATCCGGTGTTGCTTCCATTGCTGGCTCAATATGGCGTCCGTCAACAGAAGGTTTTCCAGCATGGCAACGCCCGACCCCACACTGCCAGGTTGACAAGAGACTTTCTGAACAATCGTTATGTCCGTGTTATGGATTGTCCCGCTATGTCTCCCGACATAAATCCGATCGAACACCTTTGGGATGAACTTGGACGACGGTTTCGAACTCAAGCCGTGCCACCACGAACTGTTGCAGCGTTGGCACAGGCACTCCAAAATCATTGGCAAATAATCCCACAGCGTGTAATGAGACATCTGTGCCAGTCCATGCCATGGCGACTTCAGGCATGTGTAAGAGCTCAGGGTGGACAAACCCGATATTGACTTCAGCTGACCCCTGCTTTGTTTCATGGTTCTCTGATGTTTCGGTTTTGTGCATTTGTAGTGAATTCTTTCATGAAATTATCCACAGATGCTTGTTATCTTGATTTTGTCAATTGTTATGTACATTTTTAAAAGTTGTTGCAGTAAATAAACTTTGAATTTGGCATTGCGTTTTTAAGGGCTTTGAGTATACTGTTTGAATGGCATTTAGTAATTGAACACATTAAAAATAAACACAACAGTTCTTTGGATAACAATTACTATATTTCTATTAAAGCTACGTTTCAACAATGATTCTCTTGTCGTTATCAAGCACAATACTGATACAGACAGAAGGTACGAAATATATATTATATACTATGTACAATCCAAACATTCAATGAAACCATTTAATTAGGAAGACAGTGATCCTTTGATTATAATAATGGAATCATATGCAATAATATCTAATCGTAATGTATACTTAAGTATACTTGGCTATTTGAAAAACTTAACTCCACACTTAAATTATGGAATACTAACATTCGCCAAATAGCATGAATTTTCAATTTATAGAGTACCCTCCAATGCCAAAAATCATGAATTTCTAACATTGCAAGCAAGTTATGCCCCCTTAAGAGCATCACTCTGCTCTATTAAATTCTTAGTTTACATTACTAGGAAAATGTTTGTCGAAATATTATACTGACTCTGTAACACATGAAAATAGTATGATTATAACTTATGATAAATTATGATAGTGTGCATCCTTTGCCGGAACGGCGTGAAAAGGGGTAGGGTTGCCTGTCCAACCTTTGAGTAATCCGTACTCTGAATATTCCGAATTACGACATCAATCAGCTGTCCCGTCACATGATTTCCATTGAATCAACACTGTATAATCTGACCTTCAATCGGTGGGTGTGAAGCCAATTATCGTGAGATTAAAACTCGGTTGCGTAGGTCTTTGTTGATTACTTTGATAATTTTATAATCCCTTATAAGACAGTTGTGACAAATACTCAAGAATACCCACGAATTTTCCCACGAATTATTCACAGTTGTAAAAATATTCCTAGCACCTGTTGGAAACATTCGTTGTGCATGCCGATTGAACTTGAATACCTAAGTTTGTTCACCCTACAGATCTATCCGAACCGTGTGACGAAGACCTGGACATAGAACGACAGATTATCAATGAATACTTGACACCAAAGACAAGTGTGCGATCAACTGAAGACGATGAAGAAGATAAATTAACGACAGACTTGACCCATTCAAAGTGCCTACGCATGTTATATGAAATAAAAATTAATGTAATAAAATTTTAAATGTACAGAAAGGTTTATCATTTTTATACGCCCACATTTTCATGTGGACGTATATTGTCGTCGCCCCTGTCCGTCCGGACGTCCGTCCGTCCGTCCACAATTTGTTTGTGGACCCTCTACAGGTCACAATTCTTGTCCGATTTTGACGAAACTTGAAATATAGCTTTATCCCAAAAAAATCTCGGCTGCTTTCGATATTGGCATGTATCGGATCGAAATTTCATGGATTATGGCCCCTGTTTGTACGAAAAATCACGTTTTTAGCTTGTGGACCCTATAGAGGTCACAATTTTTATCGGATTTTGTTGAAACTTAAAATGTAAGTTTATAACCCAAAGATCTCAGTTCCTTTCGATATTCGCGCATATCGGACTGTAACTTCCTGAATTATGGCCCCTGTTTGTACGAAAAATCGCGTTTTTAGCTTGTGGACCCTATAGAAGTCATAATTTTTATCCGATTTAAAAATCCGTATAATGATATCACCGTTACACCCTAAGGACGACTGAGATCGAAATTCGTGAAAATCGGCCCAAAATTGACAGACAAAATGGCCGCCGTTCGTTCTCAAATAACGTAAAAATATGGTATATCAAGGTTGTGGACCCTATAGAGGTCACAATTTTTATCCGATTTTGTTGAAACTTGAAATGTAAGTTTATAACCCAAAGATCTCTGTTCCTTTCGATATTCGCGCATATCGGACTTTAACTTCCTGAATTATGGCCCCTGATTGTACGAAAAATCGCGTTTTTAGCTTGTGTACCCTGTAGAAGTCATAATTTTTATCCGATTTAAAAACCCGTATTATTATATCACCGTTACACCCTAAGGACGACTGAGTTCGAATTTCGTGAAAATCGGCCTAAAATTGACAGACAAAATGGCCGCCGTTCGTTCTCAAATAGCGTAAAAATATGGTATATCAAGGTTGTGGACCCTATAGAGGTCACAATTTTTATCCGATTTTGTTGAAACTTGAAATGTAAGTTTATAACCCAAAGATCTTGGTTCCTTTCGATATTCGCGCATATCGGACCGTAACTTCCTGAATTATGGTCCCTGATTGTAGGAAAAATCACGTTTTTAGCTTGTGGACCCTATATATGTCATAATTTTTATCAGATTTAAAAAAACCTATTATTATGTCACCGTTACACCCTAAGGTCGACGGAGTTCGAATTTCGTGAAATTTGGCCCAAAATTGACAGACAAAATGGCTGCCGTTCATTCTCAAATAGCGTAAAAATATGGTATATCAAGGTTGTGGACCCTATAGAGGTCACAATTTTGATCCGATTTTGATGAAACTTGAAATACATATTTATAACCCAAAGATCTTGGTTCCTTTTGATATTCGCACATATTGGATCATAACTTCCTGAATTATGGCCCTTGACTGTACGAAAAAATCACGTCTTTTTTTGAGCTTGTTCTCTGTCCATCTCTTGCAAAATGTGGGCGTATCTTGCATGGCAACCGCTTGTTAAAGGGAATAACGTTCTGGGGATTATAATAATTATAATTAATTACATTATAATAATACTTCCGGTTTTCGAAGATAATACTTCCGGCTTTGAGAAAACTGAGTATTCTGACACTCTGCGTAATCTGACATATTGTAACGATCCCGTACAATGTCGGATTTGACAGAGTCCACTGTATATGGGAATGAGTTGTAAAAAATAAACCATGCCTTGCTTCTAGCGGTAGTATAAATAATTTCTGAAATCTGTAAAGCCATGTCATCACAAATGAATTTAACTTTATTATATGACAGTCGTGGAAACATGATTAAGCAATACGAACGTGGTAAATGATCCTTGGCTATCTCGGTGGTAGTAACCTTATACTCTATTATGGCACTACAACATAAAGCTGACAATGAAAAAAAAATAATTTGAGGCCAGCTACGCTCGGCGACATTGTCTTTGTTTCAATATGAATCCCCCAATATGGGTGTCACACATGGGGGGGTCTGGGGGGGGGGGGGGGTCTGAATATACTTGGACCCCCCCCAAAAAAAATTTACATAGTAGGCCCTAACTCCTATTTATTTACAACAATTATTAGGATTAGTTAAGATTCTATCTGTATAAAAGCTGTACATATCCTAATATGGTTTATACTGCTAAAATAAAACACAGAGATAATAATCCTGGAAACATGTGTGAAGTAAAAAGTACCTGTGTTCCATAAAATTGTGTCTAGTTAGCCTGTCAGTAATATTTTGTTAATTTTTTTCTGCCACTTATCAGAGTGAATCGCATGTAGGTACCCAAAAACATAACCGCCTAAACCAAATATTTATCGCCCACTCAGCCAGCAACGTAACTATAATGCTTTTGCACGCGGTGTCTTGGTAGACATCATGGCCACATGGTGTTTGTTTATATTTTTAAGGGGTTTTAAAAAATGGGTTAGGGTTAGGGGTTAGGGTTGCGCCCCCCCCCCCAATATATATTTCACGGCTACGCCTCTGCCCATAGGTCACTTAAAGTTAAGTGGATTTTTCTCACTTAAACTGGACTTTGAATACCACTAAAATACTAAACACTTAAAATTTAAGGCAGCTTAACTTTGAGAGAGAGAGAGAGAAATGGGGTTTAACGTCCACTCGACACAAACTAGGTCATTTCGGGACTAACATATGGTTTAATTTTATTTACATAATTCGCTTGCGCGTAGGGGTCTTTAGCAGTGGGAGGAAACCGGAGGACCCGGAGAAAACCCACGAGGTTGGACAGGCGACCCTACTCCTTGCCACGTACAACCGGGGATTCGAAACCACGCCAGTCGACTCAATGACAGACTTTATGATACAGCGCGCGCACGCTAATCATTCAGCCATCCAACCCCCCCTTAACTTTGAGGGACAATTTGATACTTAACAGTGCCTTTGAATACCACTTGCCCTTAGCTTACAGGAAGTTACGTATATTTAAGTGAAAGCTAGTAGTTAAGGGCCTATCTTAGACTTAAGATATCCTTTGAATACAGACCCTGTTGTTACAATGGCTTCATTAGATTTTACCATTTGTAATAGTAAAAACTTTATTTATAATCCTTTATATTGGTATATATTATATAGATTAAGGAACTACCATCAGATACGAGTGATAATCCCTGGACAATGACTGATGAAGAAATAAGTAGACGTCGTGATTTACGTAGAAGTCATCTTGTATTTAGTATAGATCCTAAAGGTTGTGAAGATGTTGATGATACATTAAGTATAAGGTACATATCGTATATCCTAATATTTATTTAAGATGTTGTAAGCATAGGTATAGATTTTTTATGTATTGTAGCATCATTAAAGGGTCATTCCACTTCAAATCACCTGATGAGGTAAACTGTACCCCTTTGATTTTGGTGAAATTTCTTTTGAATACACTTGGTTTGGCTGTAAAAGCTGATGTTATGAAATTTTTACATTTGACTCATTCAAGTTTGGTGACATGTATTTCCAGAAACATGAGAGCTTGAGTTAAAAATTGACAGAAATGTCATTGGCCCTATTGGTCAATTTACATGACATTAAAACTAACATATTTTTCAAATCCCCATTTTAAAACATGGCTACGGTCAAACTCCCCGTGGAACTATAAAACTCAACATAGAGAATATTTCACATATAATAATTATCTGTTGAAATTATATAGAGTCGATCTGGGACCTTAAGGATAACCTCATACTTTGTGGCACTAATGTGATTTGATTTGATGTCTATTACATGGATTAAAAGAAAATTTCCTACTAACTAAAGATCTCCAAATTTATTGTTGGGGAGCTTTCTTTATGGAATTGCTCAGACAGAAGATCCATTTCACAAAAATGTGTATTTTATTTTATTTTACCAGAGAATTAGAGAATGGTAATATGGAACTTGGTGTACATATAGCAGATGTTACATATTTTACAGAAGGTGGTAGTTTAACTGATATAGAAGCTAGATCAAGATCTACAACAGTTTATCTATCTGATAGAAGATATGATATGATACCACCTATACTCAGTTCAAACTTATGTTCTTTAATAAGTGGGGTTGATAGGTAAAAAATATACATAAATTTTAAAAAAATATTTTTTTTGATCTTTGTCCTGTCACTGGCACCAGCTCTTGTATTTCTGATGTGTAAAGGCCTTATTTGATGAAATACTCAGGACTTTGGTGAAATTGAGAGTGAACGTTAATGATAATTTCTCCAATGTTAGTATTATATTTATTAGACATTTTCTGAATTCTCCATTACACTGTGTTGAAATAAAACACAATCTGATAAAACATTTATTGCATAAGTAATATTTTTATCTATTATAGCAACTACATTTAGCATAATCTTGTATATGAGCTCTATTGATGTCAAGCTGACAGCAGCATGCAATTCTGAAATAGTCTATACAGGCTGTATTTTGACAAGGACATCGATCTGTTGGTCATTGAAAGTGATGGGAAAATTTTATTTCCCTTCAATAACACACACCCCTAGTTCAGGGTGGAAGTATGTTTGTTAACTTTTTTGTCATATAAAGTATTTTATAATCTACTGTACGTTTGTTAATGTATTTATTATTGTCTGTATTTTATCAGATATGCTATGAGTGTAATATGGGAAATGACAAAAGATTATGAAGTAAAAAAGGTTTGGTATGGAAGAACAGTTATACAATCAAACTATAAACTATTTTATGAGGTAATTAAATTCACTTTACATAATTTCACAGTAAATTTGAATGCAATTGTGCAAAACATTAGATTTTGTAACATACAATTTAAAAAAAAATATTTTTTTTTTTTAGTGGAGTGCTAATTTTTGGAGATTTCTTGTTTTCTTTAGATAGCTCAGAGAATAAATGAAGGAGCTGATGATGATGAGATTATAGAAAATATACCTGAATTACAAGGTCTTGATCAGAAAGAACTAGATATAAGGTATATATAAATATATATATCATCTGTATACCAGATGAAATGAAACAAAATGGGGCTTAAGGTCCTACTACATGTAGCTAATGAAGACGGGCATACACCATTCCATGTGCTATGAGTGAAATTTTGCCTGAACAGCACTATGGCCTCCTCTTATTTCTGATTCCAACTTCACAAGTTCTTTTATGTGCATGCCAATGTGTACACAGGACCTCTAGACAGGCCCTCCTTCCTGCACCAAGTTTTTTTTTTATTGATATGTTATTGTTGTAAATTGATAGACTTGGTGAATTAAGATGGGCTGTTAATAAACTAATGAGTGTAGCTAGAATATTAAAGTCTAGAAGAGCTAGTGGTGGTGGATTAGAGTTAGATAGTGTTGAAGTTAGAGTAGAGATGGAAGAATCAGATGTTGAAAACCTGACACCAAAAGATGTAAGTCATCATTTACTAATTTATCTTACTAATATAAATCATCCAAATTTCTACCTTCAATTTAGAAATGTCCTATGTTTCTGCTCTATCCGGTCTAATAGAGACAGACTTACACCATGTATAATGAAGCTTTGTTTATGTCCACACCAACATGTACATAGGAACTCGTTTTTTTCATTCCATCCAAATGACTAGATGCTGTTCCTGCCAGACCCTATCTCCTGCGTCATTGATAACCTAAACCACGCTCGGCTAACACCGGGATCAAACCCAGGACCTATAGATCAGCAAGCCAGCGCCTTACTTACTGAGCCACTGTGGCTTAGAATTTTCTTTAAAAAGTTATGAGTCTATTGACAATTTAAAATAAAAAAATTGGGGTAAATAACATCATTTCTATCTCGATAGTTTTGAGTTTTGACCTCTTCGATACAATATTACTTGTGTAGAAGATTCTCACTATGTTTATGCATTTATCATCCAGCATTTAGAAGTACATGAAACTATAGCAGAATGTATGATATTTGCTAATCACTGGGTAGCCAAAAAAATAGTTGAACATTTTCCAAATCAAGCATTGGTAAGTTTTAAAAGCATACAATAAACTTTTAAACCTCCGAAAGGATTGTCTATCCTTGCTACTTGGGTAAATTTCTCCACAATGTATTTTTAAGAACATTTTTGTTTTGTTCAAATTATAATTCGAAAGCTTTAGATCAGAGTTAGCTTTGTAAAATTTTAGTCTTTTCCTTTGATTTGCCTTCAATATTTCTCTGAATTATTCTCTGAGAATTTTACTAACAGAAGTCACCCTGTGAATTTTAATGACATCACAGATATTTATAAATATGAATAGTTTTAAGAATATTAATTGTCTATGGTGTAATGTTTTTGTTTGTAGCTACGTAATCACCCATCACCCAGACAAGATCAGTTTGATATGTTGATCAAGTGTGCTGCATCTAGAGGTTTTAATATTGACACTACATCTAATAAAAGTCTAGCAGAATCATTAAATAAATGTGTTGATGTTAATGATCCAACTGTCAATAAGGTATAATATCTATTTCTACTCCATATTGTTTTATTCACAGACATATACTGGTACCCATATTTTAAAAAATTCATCAGCCCAATAGTTTGCTTGGCAATGTTTGTCTCCGCAAGCAAGTATTAAAGGGGAAATCTTAGATTTCACAGGGTAGCCGTCCATATAACTGTGTTTATGTAGACAAATTAAATGCTGTAATATGACGAAATAACCCAAATAGCTATGTCTGAAAATTTCAGCTGAAAATATTGAGTCATTCAGGGATTCCTTTGTTGAATTGTTGTACAAGAGACTTGTTAACAGTGATGATCTCTTACCACTATTACTTAGGCAAGTTTGTAGACATGTATATCCATACACTTGCATGGAATCGGGGAACTAGTCATCAAAAACCTATTAAAGGTGAAAGCTTGTATTCCCAGGAAAATGTACCAGAGAACATCTGATAGTTGTACAGAGTATTCCATTAAATATACCCATTTGATTCAATATGATTTATCTGATACGCCTCCATTAAACATCGTTTGATACGGTACTGAACTTATATTTACACTGACCAATGGTAAATAACCTAGATACATATTTTAGTCTTGTATGTTTTGCGGAAAAGTTGTACTATATAGTTTATTAGATACCTCTTCTCTATACAAATAAACAATTTTATAGTTTTACTCAGATGATATAGTTTGACATGTAAATGTAAGGTAAATTGTACTATCCTGCCATTGACTAGGATATTTTGAGTTTCAAAATGACTTTACACAAGTGCTATAAAGGTATTAAGAAGGCTATTTTATTTGTGAATATCATAAAGAGAGGAACAATTGTTTTTAAAACGGTGGAATTATTACGAGTATCCATTTTCAATTCCAATACAGAATATAAATTGAAATTTGTAATTGTGTGATATAAATACTGTTATATTTCAGTTATTACGTCAGTTAGCTGTTTATGCCATGTCTACAGCCCAGTATTTCTCTACAGGATCTATAGCACATGATCAGTTCTTTCATTATGGTCTAGCTTTAGATCTATATACACATTTTACCTCACCTATCAGACGATATGCTGATATAATAGTAAGTATACTGTACCAACCTCACTACAATTTCATGCATATATTTATGGTTCTATTACCATAACAATTTAGTGGTTGAGTGTGAGTGGTCTAATGTGTATAAATAGGTCATAAGGTCTGTCATTGAATCAAGTGGCATGGTTTCAATCCCAAGCTTAAACATGACATGGAGTGTGGTCGCCTACCCAACCTCATGGGTTTTGTCCAGGTCGTCCAGTTTCCTCCCACATAAAGACCCCTACACACAAGTAAATTATTGAAATAAAAGAATAGTACCACCATCACACTTTTTGGGACACAATAACTCTCTTTCTAATTGAGCTAGAATGTTCAAACTTAGTGTAGGTGTTTATTGGATCAATGTCTTGATGGAGTTCGAAGATGAGCATTTCCTGCTTAGGGTAAGCAGACATAAGCAATTTGATTGGTTGATGCTTTGGGACACGATAACTTTAGTTGTAATTAAGTGAAAGTGATGAAACTTGGTGCATAGTTTCATTACATCAATACCTTGACCAAGTTTGATAATGAGCATTTTCTGCTCAGGGTAAGCAGAGCGATAAGCAATTTGATTGGTCGAGACTTTGGAACACAATAACACTCCTTCTAATTGAGGTAGAATGTTCAATCTTGGTGTAGGCATTCATTAGGTGAATACCTTGATGGCGTTCGATGATGAACATTGTCTGCTTATGGTAACTTATGGTAACAACGATAACTTTAGTTGTAATTAAGTGAGAGTGATGAAACTTGGTGCATAGTTTCATTACATCAATACCTTGACTAAGTTCGATAATGAGCATTTTGTGCTCAGGGTAAGCAGAGCGATAAGCAATTTGATTGGTCGAGACTTTGGAACACAATAACACTCCTTCTAATTGAGGTAGAATGTTCAATCTTGGTGTAGGCATTCATTAGGTGAATACCTTGATGGAGTTCGATGATGAACATTGTCTGCTTATGGTAAGCAGAGATAAGCAATCTGATTGGTTGATGCTTTGGGGCACGATAACTTTGGTTATAATGAAGCGAGAGCATATAAGTTTGATGGTGAGAATTTTCTGCTTAGGCTAAGGAACGATAAGCAATTTGATTGGTCAAAACTTTGGAACATAACAACTCTGCTTTTAATTGAGGTAGAATGTTTAAACTTGATGTAGATGTTCATTAGGTGAATGTCTTGACTGAATTCAATGATTAACATTTTGAGCTGAAGCTAAGCAGAGCTAATCAATTTCATTGGTCGATGCTTTGGGACAAGATAATCTTGATTCTATCTGATAGAGAGTGATGAAACTTAGTGTATAGTTTGATTGCTCGATACTTTGAAAAAAAATAATTGTCGGTTAATTAGTATGTGTCATCTATTTATTTTGGGATTTCAGTGGGGGACATCAGCCTCACTGTTGGCTTGTTTTCTCTTAATAACAGTTGACACTTAACATATTTTTGTCAGATGACATTCCTTTTAAGGCTTTATCATTCCATATTTAATGTAGATTCGGGGGTCAACAAATTATAAACTTCTTAAAAACAACTGTTTGTGTAGGTAAACATTGAAACTTTATGTTATTATTACAGGTCCATAGACAGTTATTAGCAGCTATTGGTGTAGATAATAGTGATAATTTACCCAGTAATAAAATATTAGATGAATTAGCTGATCATATCAATATTAAACACAAGGTATATATATTATATTAAAACATGTACCATAGCAATATTAATCTCACCCACAACTTAGGATTTTTACATAATATAACGCTGATGTGTATAATTTATAACTAACATTTTCTTTATGTTAAATTGCAGGAAATGTTAAATATTTTGTTTATGTCTTTGTTTTTAGGCAGCACAGAATGCTCAAAGAGATTCACAGGAATTGTTCCAGTCTCTATATTTTAAAGATAAGAAACCTGATGATGAACAGTGTATAGTAGATGCTGTTATATTTCAACTACGTATCAATGGATTCTTGGTTTTTATTCCCAGGTATTTCTTCTGTGTATTCTATATCATCTATTTAAATTTCCGTACAAAATCGTTCCAAGTGATGATGGATTTTCAAATCAAACATTGCAGAATTTAAATATGTAATAATCTTAATTTACAAAAGAATGGAGGTTAACATCCCATGCTTATTTTAGAAGGATAGCATTGTAGGCCATAACATAGGTGGTAACATTGAAAGATCTATAAACTAAACTAGAGTTTATTGCTCTATCCAGTTACTAAATGCCTCTCAAAGATCATGAAAGATCTCTTCTCAGAATTTGGAAATTAAAGCTTATGATATACATATTAATTACAAAATGACATAGGTATGTATATTGTTGGGAGATCACATTACTTTCCTGGAAAAGGTTATAGCAACATCACATCATAGTTGTAGGAGCAAATTAGCAGAAGAACCATTGTTTAAAAATCAGTAATATATATACCAAAATAAAGTAACAAGTATGATAAATTCTCTTTTGAAAATATTTTATATATATAGATATGGTATTAAAGGGCCTGTATATTTAAGAAATAAAGAAGGTCAAGTTGTGTTTATTGGTAAAGATGAAAGACCAGAATGGACGTCTGGTACATTAGTTAGAGATGATAAATCAATCACAGTAAACACTCTACATAATTCTCATAAATATTCTCTATTTCATCATATTACAGTAAGTATTTCATACTAATGTTACAAAACTTACAATATCAAGTTTATGTTATATCAGAGTAAATACATCATTACATACATCTATAAGCATGAGATTTTCATCTTAAATCAAACCTGTTTCAACCATGTTTTATTATATAAATAAAACACATGTTGGATTGCCTTTATTTCAGATATGGCTCGAAATTTTTAACAGGTGGTATTTGAACTCTGATTTGTGTCACTGTTGGCTTGAGAACATTTCAAAACACTCAAATGTGGGAGCAATGCATGAAATCTGCTGTTTTTGGTTGTTTTCTAATTACTTTTTTTCTGAAAATTAATGTATACTAACTTCAAAGCTAAATATATCTCAGACTTTTTTTATTCAAAAAAGATAATTCCATGTAACAATACCAGTATCTTGTACAACACATGTCACAACAGATCAGAGTTGGTTGAGAAACGTTACCCAAAGTTTAGAATACATGTGACAAAGGACAGTAATTTGTGCAAAAACATAATCAAAAACAAGAAGTCAGTAATGAGATAATTTTTCAGACAATATCTAATTGTTCATATCTAAAATGTAGTACAATTGATTAAAGAAAACAAATCAAAATTATGAAGGGTAGAAAATCTCTTGACTTGGATTCGATCAGAATAAAATAAGGCACATCAAAAGGTTTTACCCAACAGATCAGAGGATGTTAAATCTTGTGATATTTTCAACTCATTATATCTTTGTAAATACTGAACAGAATTAAACCATTTTTGATATTCCTTATAGAGGTTCAACTTTCACAATATTGAAGTTTGCAAGGCAGTCAAAATCCCTCAGAAGCCGATCAACAGCCAGACCCAGCTGGGAAACGGCACTACATAACAATATATCAATAACTAAATTCAATTTGAAGATGTTGTACTAGGTTGAATACAAATGCTATCATTTCTAAATCTAGGTCCAGATATCATTACAATTATCTAGAGCTCATTCAGCTTCTCTTCGTCTAGAACTATTAGATAATAAACCATTAAAAGATGATAACAGTACATTATATGGTAACCAGAATACAGATAGATCAAATATTGTAAAGGTTAGCTTACTATCTGTTTATCATTATAATAAATAGGATTAATGGATTTTTTTCTTCTGGTAATCCCTAAATGCACTTATTGAATTATACTGTTTTTATGATTGAAATAGTTTCATATACAAACAGTTACCAAGTAAATATCTGATTATTGTTCAGTTTCACAAATATATTTTTATAAATCTCAATATGCATAAACGACAAAGTCGTGTAAGCTTGACTCATGCACATGTTAAATCTACAATAAATAAACTATAGAATATAGCATGTGGGCAGTAGTATAGTGTGCTACATACAGTGCACTTTAGCAAATCCATTGGAATGTCACTGCATTTGAAAAGCTGTAGTAGTTATAATGTGATATATCCCATTTTATAATGACAAGACTCGTGGTATTCTCAATATTTATATAATTATCTTACAGGAAGTACAAAGCACAATGATAAAAGAAAGTGAGAAAGAGTTACCTTCTCATGATCTTGGCCCGAACTTTGCAGCATTGAAACAAGAATTTGGACAGACAGATGATTCAAAGAGTCTTTATCATATCTTTGAAACATTTAAAAAAATATCATTGAAGCCATTATGATTGTAAGACAGAAGATTTTATTTGCTTATTTATGTTTTTTCCAACTCTAATTAGATACAAAGAGGATTTATGATCATTATTACGCTGAGAAGAAATAAAAATGTATCACTGATTTGACTTGAATTGCTGGTGAGACATAATGCAACTAAAGTGCATGATTGTAGGCTGGACACTTACTGACACAAGAAAATCTGGTTATATCTTACAGGGGAGTCATATGCTGTGTACACATTGGCATGCATGTAAAAGAACCCTTGACAGTTGGAATTCAATTGCTGTCTGGGAAAATTTCCCTCATTGCACATTGCATGGTGAATGCCTGTCTTCGTTAGCCCCGTTGGTGGATAAAGTAGTATACAAACCCTGTTTCATTCTGTCACAAAGTGACCTCAGGTTCTTTAACTTACTTGCCCCCTTTTCCAAATTTCCAACAAACAACACAACTAATTAATTTATTTTAAATATGTATATTGTACAATCAATTTACATATACAATTTAAGAGGTTTTTACAAAATTAAATGCGTTAAAGTTACAGTTCATTCCGGCATTTAATACTCTGTTGCTTTAATTCAATCAATCCTCCTGGTTAGCATTCAGATTAATTTTCCGTCTTAATTCCACCATCCCAATTGCGTAAGTTGTTTTTTTAAAACATTTTAAACCCGAACACAAATTCTCGGAAAACACAAAACCTTCACATGTCACAGATCTATTTCTCGTATTCACCTAGACTCACTAATTGTATTAAAACTTCACCAAGATTGAAATGTACTTCACCAAGACTACATGCGTACGATTCACAAAGTTCACCAAGATTAAACTACAATATGATTCACAGGTTACCCCTGGGTTGAAATATGATTTATATCGATCACCTAGACATTACCGGTTAAATGTTATTTCATCAAGGAACGGATTCATCACATTTAAATACATCGTATTTAATTACCAGGTTCTAAGCATCTGAAGCCAGTCATTGGTGTTACCGTAGATATTGAAAAACAGTCATGTCTGGTCCTTTAAAATCTCTCTGATCTAAGTAGAGAAAACAGCCATGTCTATCCTGTAACTTATTTTAAACCTCTCTGACAAACTTTTCTAATTCCTACACCAAGAAACTTTTAGTCACTCAAACATCCAATCAGAATTATACACCACCTGCACATGCATCACAATCCAGACACATTCATTACTTTACACCCTCATTACCTAACTTGCTCAGACATACCAACAATCGTTCTGTAAAAACAACGCATATATACTATTCAAAAAAAGTAGGGGATATTTGATTTTTAAGTGTTATTAAAGTCACCTAATGAAACTGACGAAGAAACAAATGACAAAATGAAATGAAGTTCACATTCATCGATTTATTCCAAATGATCGTTAGACTAAGTAAGGCACAGACTGACCATTATAAGGGTAAAATGATACCCGGGGTCAAACAGCAAAGTTACCACAGCATCACAACCAAGTCAGTAACGGGTAAATCCTCCTCTGTTTGCCAAACAAGCATTGATCCGACGTGGCATACTCCTAATGAGACGTCTAAGGTCATTTTGGTCCAGATTGTCCCATTCCTGTTGCAACGCAGCAGCAAGTTCTTGGACATTGGCAGGACGTTGTTGACGTTGACGTAACCTCTGTCCAAGCATGTCCCAGACATGCTCGATGGGGGAGAGGTCGGGACTCAGTGCTGGCCAAGGTAATGTGGTGATGTTCTGTTGTTGGAGGTAACCTGTAACGATCCTGGCCCTGTGACATCTTGCGTTGTCATCCTGGAAGATGAAACGGCGGCCATGACGTCGTGCGAACGGCACAACATGGACTGCCAAGATGTTGTCCCGGTAGTACTGGCCTGTAACACGCCCTGCAACAACATGTAAAGCCGTTCTTCCAGCAACAGTGATGCCTCCCCACACCATAACAGAACCACCCCCAAATCGATCATGTCTGATGACGTTAACGTCTTGGAAGCGCTCGTTTCGACGACGCCACACCCTCCTACGTCTGTCCAAAAAATCAACAGTGAACCTTGACTCATCTGAAAACATCACATTGCTCCAGCGTCGATTATCCCAGTGTTGACGATCCCTACACCAACGACGTCTTGCCTGAATGTGATGATCTCTCAAACAAGGGATCACGCGAGGACGTCGGGCGCGAAGGTGACCCCTATGCAGTCGATTCCGAATCCTCTGGCCACTCACTCTCACACCAGTGTCTGTTTGAAGACGAGCGCTGATCTGATTTGCTGTGATGGCACGATTTCTCAAGGCCAAGGTACGGATAAATCGATCCTGGGCTTGAATTGTCGCCCTTGGTCGACCTGAGCGTGGTCTGTCCTGTACAGATTGTGTATCACGGTATCTGGACCATAGCCTGCTTATGACAGACTGAGAAACATTCATCGTCCGCGCCACAACCGCCTGTGTTGTGCCGATCTGTAGCATGCCAAGGGCACGTAACCTTTCATTTTGGGTAAGCCGACGCATATCAAAATTTGTTTTCTGGTCACTAAAACAATTAAACTGATGTTTCCACCCTGGAATTCAATGCCACAATGACTGTAACATTCAAAGTCAGAGTCGTGCAAATCTTGGGTTGGACCCCCATGATGATCCCAAGCATGACCTGCATTCCATGCGGTAGCTATTGGTGCGTTTGGGCGTCACATGTAACTGGAAATGTTTCTTCTGTTAGGTTCTATAGTGACTTTTTTCGTAGTCATTTGCATATTTTAGTATTATGCCCCCAAAATCAAATATCCCCTACTTTTTTTGAATAGTATACATTGAAAATAATTAAACTTTATTAACCTGTACAACCCTTAATAAATGTCTTTAAAAGAAATAAATATTCCCTTTAGCCATGTACCAAATTAATTAGGTACCCTAAATCACAGAAATAAACCATGTCACAATTATACATAGCAAATTAACATACCAATTGTGACACATTCATTATATCTTATAAAGTTGACTGTTCATTTACTAAAATATAAAATTCACAATGCAAGCAGTATATTGTTTTTTTAAATTTGTTTGATTGTATATTGTCGTAACACTTGAGGGAAATCGGCCTGTAAAATGTTAATAATGATGTGAGTTTGCAGCAAATTTTAGAAAGTAACTCAATTTTTTGTGATTTATGAACATGCACATATATAGCTAGTGCTATTATTATCATCATTATATAGTATCATTATTATCATTGTGGGTTTATATTGTAAATAAACTAATCATCTTCTGATTGAGCTAAATCTAAATAATGAATTGTTGAATATATATTACATTGTTAAATAAAATACAGAATCTATTTTGTCACCAGTTTTGTTCAATAATTACAAATTGTAATTGGATTTTGTTAGCAGTTTTGTTTAATAATTACAAATTGTAATTGGAGACATAATCAGTGTGATTTTCTTCTAGAGCAAGTGGACCTTGCTATTAAGGATGTCCAAATATAGGGCCTGGGATCAAAGCTGTTCAAAAATACATGTGCTAATAATTGATACCGAAAGAATCCCGGACTCAGTAAGGCCCATTATCAGAATTCCCTAGATTGTGCAGAAAAGTCCACATTAGCAATATGAACAGTTACTTTTTTTGTCCCCTGCCTTTGCATTTAGTTTCAATACATCAGTACCTTGACTAAGTTTGATGATCATTATTTGATTGTAGTTGAGATTGAGTGATGAATCTTTAGTGAAGGGTTTAATCAATACCTTGATTAAGTTCAATAATGAGCATTATGAGTTCAGGTTAAGCAGAATGGTAAGTAATTTGATTGTGCGATGCTTTGTAAGAAGTTAAACGTCTCAAGTAATTAATATTAAAGACTGTTGTCTATTTATTTTGGGATTAAGGCAGGGAACATCAACCTCACTGTTAGCTTGGGTTTTTGTTTAGGAGAAAAATATTTTTTTCTAAGAATAAGACTATAGAGCACATTAATTTGACACATATGCATGATTTTTTCATGAAGGTAATTTGAGACAAACTTTTATCCAAATCAGGTCCTAATTAACAGAGATAGCCTCACTGAAATAAGCACCAGTAGCCAGATTAGGTCAACTTTAAGAATCCATGGATATTAAGTCAGTGTGCACCTTTACATACACATATGTCCCAAGTTTGATCTGGGTTTGTGATTCTTGTGTGGTTTCCCCTTGTCAGTGGTGCAGGATGGAGAGCCTGATTAAGGAACAGTCCAGTAATTTGGATGGTACGGAAAACGAGATCCAGTGTACACCGTGGAGTACTTGTAAAAGAACCCTGAACAGTTGGAATTCAATTGCTGCCTGGGCAAAATTCCCTCATAGCACACAGCATGGTGTATGGCCTTCTTCATTAGCCTGGTTGGAACAGAAAAGTGGGGCTTTAAACCTCATTTCATCATCCACTTGTGATAAAATAAATTTTACAGATGAAAACATCTATCGCAAACAGATCTAAGTGGTCATTTTTTAAACAATATGTTAACTAGTCCCTTAAATTTGACAGTAGCCTTTAATTAGGTGTTATTTTACTAAAACCCTAACTATTGAATGATGTACACCACTAATGGTTGGGAGAGAGAGAGAGAAATGGGGTTTAACGTCCATTCAACACAAACTAGGTCATTTCGGGAAAACACATGGTTCAATTTTATTTCAATAATTCGCTTGCGCGTAGGGGTCTTTAGCAGTGGGGGGAAACCGGATGAATTGGAGAAAACCAACGAGGTTGGAAAGGCGACCCTACTCCTTGTCGCGTACAACTGGGAAATCGAAACCGGGCCAGTTGACTCAATGACAGACTGTATTATACAGCCCAGTGCGCACATGCTAACCATTCGGCCATCCACACCCCACCCCCCGCTAATGGTTGGGTTTGTGTATACTGTACTGATGGATTTTATAATTAGTCACACTTTTACACTAGAAGTGGCATCTTTTACACACACTGTATAAATTAGTCTTCATTTTCTATACACACTAAACATCAGTTTAGAATAATGAAGAAAAGGCAAAACTTTTCATTAGTAAAAGTGAAGGGTATCAGTTTAACAATGATACCTCAGTGGGCGCCCCACTGATTCTTTATCCGTTTAATAAAAAGAGATCTATTTGTTTGATATAAAACTAACTAGAGACGATGTATAGTAAAGATCTTAACCTCATGAATAACTAAAAAAAAAAAGTTCTTGAGAACTTAGATTGAAATGTGTCAGCTAATTATTAACTGAATCTGACAAATTTCCAGATTGTATGTTCCAGATCCCATATGCATGTTCCAGATCCCATATATATATATACAAGTCCACTCACAAAAAAAAAAAAGAAAAAAAAAGAGAACCAATATAAACTTTAAAAATATGATTTATTTGTGTTGAAACACCATGGTACTGGTTAATTAAGCCTTCATCACAATAACGTAACCCTGATGATATAATAAGTTGTAATAAAACCACTACAAGAAGATTGGGCTACAATACACAAAGAGCAGATTTTCATATCCTGTTAATCTAAGTTAAAAAGGTTTGTACATTGTTTCAAGAGGAAAAATCTGTATTAGAAGTGACATTGCATTTTGTGGAGAGTATGTGCTAACTTCACACACAAAAACATTTATTGTCACCTATTTTAGCTGTTGGCCACAGCAATGTTTTTACTTTGGAGAGTTCACACAGTTGCAACCTGCTGTCTTTTTACCTGTTTACTGGCATGTGCAAATCCTTTATTGAACTTGTGATTTAAGTCTATGAAATCAGCTTTAAGTATATAGATTTAAGAAGGCTGATAGGCCAGCAAGATCAAATTAATAATATACATATACATCACTTTATAACAGTCAAAACAAATAGAATAATTAACTTTGATTTTATATCCTTCATTATGGCAAAATGATCTTGATGGCATTCATTAAAAGCTATGGAATGAATGAAATCAATAGATCATATGAATTATCTTTCCTAATTTCAATAAATACACACCACAGATAAATTTAAGTTAATTAGTTTTTAATATTTAATAAAATGATTATGATTATCTTTCAAAAGACAGCAAAATAAAAATTGAAATCTGTTTGATTTTTAAAACAAATTGAATAGAATATCAACTAAATATAGGGATTAATAGACGTTGGATAAAGATTGTCGGCATGAAAGCAATAAGGTAACATTTTTCAAAAGGCCAATCCCCGAGCATGATGTCATCACTTCCATCTTGGAATTATGTCGTCATATCAATAATCGAAGTGACTGTTGACTCATAATGATGAAAAATTTGCATAATTTTTAGCAAATTTCACAAGATATCCATTATTCATGATCATAATAAATAAATACAGCTCTGTGTTGTTTTATTTTACAATTATAATATTTGGGAATACACACCTCACAATTCTACAGAAAACAATTACTGATTATTACTAAGCACTGACAAAAACCAAAGGTTGTATTCCATAGAATTGTGACCTGTGTATTTCCAGTTCAATTACTAAATGCCATTCAAACAATTTTAATTATTTGTCACTTCAACTTTTGAAATTAGTCAAATATATAATAAAAGGAGAATGGCAAGTTGCATTGTTACATGTATATGCAGCTATCAACAACAGTGTTATGTGTTTAAATGCAGGATTTGGGACTGGTAATTTTTTCAAACTAAATGTGTTAAGTTTGAAATAATTATTGCGGATATCATTTAATCTTCATTTTACAAGAAAACTTTAACTTTATATAATTGTACTTCACAGTCCTAAATGTATGGCGACACATTAATTATCAGTCATGGATTGTTTTCCTGGTAATCTAAGGCCATCACATGCAACAGGTTTGATACAATATTATTGCAAATGATGTCATGTCCATAACACAGAACTGTATCACTATAAAAATGCTGTAAACATTTATTTTTCTGGGATATAAAACTTTTTTGGCCATGTTTAATTTTTATCCAATTAGAAATACTACTTTATAGGCCTAAGGGTGTTTCTGAACTTGGATTCTTTTAATTAGTATTTTACAGTGTTCAAATCTTCAAGTTCAATATCATTGTTTATATTCATACAGTGAAAAAGTTGGGAACTGGATGAGACATGAAAAATAAATTTGGAGCAGTTGCATTAGAAAGGAATCAGGATTCAGTTCATATTAGCATAAATCAAACATATCCATACTCTATTAAAAGACTAAATTCTCCTTCAGTATGTGAGTGCTTTATAGAACATGTAACTGGCTTTTATCCAATTGCAATCAATTACTGATTACAGAATGGCCATGGTAAAATGATAACAGTTGAATGATATCCATAATGAGATCAAATAGAGGTATAAATAATGTTTACTGCATTCAAGGGACCTTTACAGAATCTTTAATCTAATCAAAAGTGTGGGGCATATCAATCCATACATTCTCCTATGTTAAGTCCAGTTATTAATTAGTATATAACCATACTCAATGCTGAATATGCAATTTAATTTGGAGACTCTGGTACATGCAGTATTCACCAACAAGACCATGAATATTGTCACTTACTGTAAACGAACATTATTTCAGGAAATATGAAGGTTTGTAAGATTTAATAAATGTCTCTTTAAAGGACAATATTGGTGTCAGTCATTATCACATATGTGATAGAATTGGTTAAACAAGTTCCAAATACAATTTTAACAGAGATCATTGCCACGATAGATGCGTTATGAAGTTTTCAAGAAAGGGAAGTGACAAACGCAAAAGGAAAACACAAGTCATCCTTCTATATAACCTTCTATATAACTAACTGGAGTGATGAGTGATAACAGATACACAGGCAAATTTCCGTTCACTAATAATTCCTTCGAAGACCAAAAGTTGTTATATGAGACTGGGAGGATATCTGACAATTCAAACAAATAATTGACTATCACTAGATAAAAGAAAATGAGAAAAATAGAAAAAAGTCCATGCATTACCATTTTTTTTATTAAGTATAGAATGAACAAAAACAAGGGAATGTACACTAAGAGTATTTCTATTTTTCCCGTTTTCCCTTATCTAGAGACATTCAATTACTTTTTTGAATTATCAGATATCCTCTCACAGCCTCACATAAGAACTTTTGGACTTTGAAGAAATTATTAGTGAGCAGAAATTCACCCATGTATCGGTTATCACTCGTCACTTCAGTCAGTTATATAGAAGGATAACCCATGGTTTCCTTTTGTGTTCATCACTTCCCTTTCTTGAAAGTTTCATAACGCATCTATCATTGCAATGATCTCTTGTGTTATTATATTTGGAACGCGTTTAACCAGTTCTATCACATATGTGACAATGACTGACACCAATATTGTCCTTTAATTAAAATAGTAATTGTGTTCCATATTATGTTTTTGTATTTAATAGGTGTGTCAGTTGCTAAATGCTGCTCAAAGAAGTTTGTAGATGGCCATAATATGTCATATTTTAACTCCATGCAAAGACTGGACATGGTTGGTTATCATAAATAAGGTTTAAATATTGGACATTTTTGGAAAAATTAAAGGACATCACCATATAGATAGTAAGGATCACACATTTGAACAGAGTTAATCCTTTGTGTAAAAAATGATCAGAATAATAGCGAAGCCTTGGTGTAACTAAATAAATTAATGTTGTCAGAGATGCTGCTTTATTAAATTTATCCCTCCACCCCCACCCTTCCATGGTATGGTTATGAAAGCATAAACTGGTGAAATAATTAAAGTAACAAATAGCTGAAGTATTGTGTGCACTACATAAAGACTAGCCAAACAAGTAACCAATAAAAAGCAACTAGGACAAAACATAATAATAATTACTAATATTACATCATAAACATAACATGAGAATGGCTGCAGTTTAAAGGTGCATAGTCCAAATAAACATGTCACACACAGAGCCATGAATACAATATTGTTTCATATATACATCTTCATTTTGTCATTTTGGTTTCTATATACAAATTAACTTATGCACATTGACGGAAAATTTCACATAGGGTAGGTTGTGCATCTTTATCCTTATTTAGGTTCATATTGTTGCACTTCATAATAATTCAAACCATATCCTCCTTCACGAGCCTCTTAATAAAGACGACAGTTGACCGAAGTAAGTTATCAATGAAACGTTGAAACGTTCACAATATAAGTAAGTTGGACTTGTAGATTCATTCACATATGGTTTGTTCCAGACTGCTGTCACACGGTTCCTTCCACAGTTGTATATAATATATCTACAAATGCTTACAGGTTTAAGTTTTAATGTTAGTTTACACAGACACAAGAAGATCATGGATGACTGTTTATATATATATATATATATATATATATATATATATATATATATATATATATATATATTTTTATCCATCTTCTTTAGGGGGAGTAAACCAGCCTGTAATCAAAATCAAATTATTCAGTTAAAAATTGAATAAAAACATGTGAGGAGCTCTAGCTACAAAATACACAATATCACATATGCCCCTTATTTCAGATAGGACATCAGATATATAAGAATTAAGTCAAGCAATCAATTCTGGTTGAAATTGAAAGTGATTTAGTGAAAAAATGTTAAAAATATCTAAATCCTGCCCTTTCAAAGTACCTCAATTTTGGGATCAAGTAACTTTATTTGAAGAGATCTTAACTACCACCACTCAGACAATATATCTATTAATTTTGGTTGTAATCTATTGTCAAGGAGCTTTACAGAAAAAAAAGAGTTGAAAATATCTAAATCTGTACCTTCAAGGCTCGCACCTTTGATGCCAAGTAATTTTATTTGAACAGACCTTGATAAGTATTATCCAAGATCGAAAACCATCATTTTAAGACAAGAAGTTGAAAATACATAATTTGCCAAAGATATATATTTTTTATACGGTGATTCCAGAATATTGGCCTTTAAAAGATATTTCACAACACTCACAGGTAAACATTTTCAGAACTGCACAGAATTTGTTGTTTATGGTTGAACTTGTATGTAACTGTGTTTTCATTTTTTTTAACCCTGTGTCCCATTCAGCCACAGACTGTGACAAATGGACTTTAGCATTCATTCAATGCTTCTCTTTCATTTTTGTGATGTACAATCGTGGGGATAAAACCACAATTGATTTGGTGACAGACCAAAGAGACCAAGTTTTAAACTCACCATGGATTTATACCATGCACAATTTCAATTTTTAAAGAAAATAATAAATCATTAACTCACCATTTTTTTCATGAATCTGTACAAGTGATTTGAAAGACTGCTGTGCTCTAGCTAAGCTGTACTGACTCTGTAAAAACAGAGAAATTAGAATACAATAATGAGTTAGCTGGTTCTCAACCATTATATTTTTTAGTAAATTGGACTTTCACAGGAAGGATTAGTAGCATTGAATGCACCCACAATTAGATTTAAGTAGGGTAATTAACGCGGATTGATGGTAATGATATGAGGATTCCATCATTCATAAAAATACCAGCCTATTCCCACATCATATTGCAGTAGGCTAATTGCAGTAGGCACAGATGGGATTAATATTTAATGTCACTGATCAATGAAAATTTATATAAAGTTTTATCAAAATTAGTATAATTATTGGATTTTTAATGATCATCCGATCAGACTGCTGTATGTTTATAAATTATGCACAGAAGGGAATAAATGTTAGGGTAGATACTGCCTGCTATCAATCATTATTTAGAATGCAATACCAAATTAATATATATTTTGCATTTATAAATAAAGTTACAAAATTTTAAAGAATCAAAAAAACAAATTCTAGTAGGATAATAAAATATCAATAAAGTAGATTTTAAGTTTCATTTAAATTCATTCACTATGTTTCACAGATTTGATCAATCAGATTGCAGTAGGCCAATTAAATATGTACTGATATTCAAATATATAAGCTGGTGATTGTCATAATGAAAGCACATTCTAATAGACATAATCAGCTGCTTTAATCTTAGTATAAAAACATTAAACATAAATATTACATTAAACACACTATACCTTAGATGCACCAAACTGTATTCTTGCTTTGCCTTTAACTAATGTAGCTGATATTTGTAAAATGACGGATTCTAAACTGTAGGCACTAGACCAACCCTTGAAAACATAAATATCACAGGTTAGTTAATACAAGAAGGAAAGGAATGGGGTTTAAAATCTTGTCAACACAATACTTCATGCTGTTTGAAACTAACATATTGAATTGTATTTGCACATTGCTATAGGGAGGATATTTCCAGGAGAGTGACATTTCCATGTACTATTCAAAAACTTTAAATGGCAAAAGGATCTTAAGATACAAATACCGATTACTACATACAATTTGTTTGTGCAATCCAAACAACTTAGTTCACCCTGATACTGTAATATTGGTAATCAATTGTGACTATTGTTAAAATACCTGTTTTGTTGTGTATTTCTTTATTGTTGTATATTTGCTTAAGTCACAATATCCAATTTGTTATATATATTTTATTGTCCCAATACCCAATTTGTTGAATATATTTTATTGTCATAAGATCTGTTTTGCTGTATAGATATTTGGATCACAATATACCTGTTTTGTTATTTTATTGTCATAATACCTGTTTTGATGTATAGATTGTTTGGCAATAATTATACCTGTTTTGTGAGTAATTCCATACAAATTGCACCTCCTCCTAACACATAACCTCCTGTTAATATGGGATGAACTACTCGTACAAATGGTGGATCAAATGGAAAAGAATCCTGAATAAAAATGGAGAATATCTTAACTAGACTATACAACACATGTTAAAATACATAAAATGTAGATGTGAAATTCTCCTTGTAGACTCCAATACTAAATTGTAGCACAAATTAGAAATTTCCTCGATTCTTATCGGTCGAAAAGTGTGGTAGAATGGACAATAAACCCCCTCTAAATTATCAAGGCGAATTACTGCGTATAAATATAACAGTGTACTTTTTTTCATTTTTGTACTCAATGAACTTCCTCAACTCAAATCTTTATTGGCAAATATCTTCAAGGGATTCTGCACACATGACTATCACACCATTTTCAAACATCATCTTTTATGAAATCACATTTCTGAAATACATAAAACAGTAGAAAATCAGTCATAAATTAATTAAAACCATTTTCAGGTATCCAAATATATTCGTAACTAGGCGGTGAAAGTGTCAGTAGGCCTATGTTTTCTTTTTTGGTAGGCTAACTTCACTCACCAATTCTTACTTAATCAGGTGGATTTTTTTTTTAAAATCATGCTTTCAAAATCTGACTAGCATGATCTACCTAATAAAAAGTCATTAGTCACAAGAAATCGATTGAAAATACAATGAGGAAGCTGCATATACAGCTGAAATATAGGCCTAATCATTATCATTTATGCCAAAATTGTCATTTGTTGATCCCACACGTCAGAACAGCTACATAGCAACCCACTAGCATCTTAGGCTAGACATCACTGTCATGGTTTATATGGTATTTTTGACGATATAAGTATGAACTGCAATTGTGTGAAGAAGAACTAGCTACAACATTGTGATAACAGTCTGCAAAATAAAATAATAAAGGCTGAAAACTTACATAAAACTCCCTAAGCGAAGTCATCTTTGTTGTCAAGAGTTACTCCTCTTTTAGTCTCAGCTAGCAGGGCGGAATTATTTCAATCACGCTGATACTGGTGTCGAAATACCACAGTAATACTAATTTCCTGTTTTTTTTAAAATCTTCAAACGTCAAAAATATTTTTTGCTGTCAATACCCGAATACCATTTTCTTTCATAATTCATTTACCAGCAATTCGAGAATCAAACATTTTAAATTTGCAGGAAGCATGGGGCGGTCTAAATCTATTGAAAATATTTTGAAAAATGAACGCAAGCGTGGCCAAATAACGACTTTTTAAAATGGGTGTAAAAATGTTTCCTAAATAGGTCTGAAGAAAATCTCCAAATATTTGAGCTACAATATCGATAAACACGTTCCTGTTACGTATTTATCGCGTCTCATGTTCTAATGGATAATTTAAGCATGGTTAAATGGACAATAAACCCCAGATAAATACGTAACAGGAAGTGTTTATCTCCTAATCATCCATCGCTTGATTCTTTTCTTTTGACTGAAAAGATATGTGCTGAATATGAACTAATGTTTCCATATTGGTTGTTGAGATTTTTCTGGCTTCATGACAAATTTTTGAGCCAATTAATATCATATTATATGTTATTAATGACAATGTCTCCAATTAATACTGTACAAAAATTTCCCACTCTGGGGTGTCATCTTATCCAAACAATTATTACCTATATAAGGTTTATTTACCTTATATGTAAAATTTAACAATATAAAATCTCTGCCTTCTTTTTCTTTAAATGTTTGTAAATCTGTAAATAAAGCACTGTCTTGATCCACCCTATAATACAGAAAATAATACAATTACATTAATCTTTTCAACAGAACTGATGCTCTTACTTTTTAAAATAACAATAAGGAAGGGGGTTTAGTAACTAAAAATTATGTGTTTTTATTTTCATCTTTAACATCACACTTTCCTTCCTTGTTAGCAATGCTGTTGCCAGCCCACACCACTACTCCCTTCAACACCAAATACAAAAAACTTACTTTTTTAATCGCACATTCCATTCATAAAGACTATCATTGACTAGATCTACAGTATATATCTCTGTAATAAAATAATTATTCATTAATTATTCATTAATGCATTCTTGTTTATAACTTTATAAGATTTCTACCTTGTCATGTTACTCTGTAATATTACTAATAATGTTTCTATTCTTACTTTCTTCCAAAACTTTCATCAAGATAAATATAAAAGGGATAAAACTCACCATTTTTAAAGCTGGCAGACCTATATATATCACGTAATTCTTTCATAAGACGGTCAGTTGCTTGTACTGATCCAGATACTGAGCCCTAGAAATAAAAATATTGTATTTTAAAATTGAGATGCCACAAATAAAAGAAATACCATTAACATAAAAATTTCCACTGACATCCAACCATTAAAGATACATTATGGGAGATAAGATAAAGTGATGGCAGTTCTCGCTATAATAGTTAAAGATAGGTTGCCAGGCAACGAAACATACGAATATTCTTACTTTTTTCGGTAATGAATCATTTATAATACACTAAAATCTGATTAAGAGCAACAACTCATGAAGTAATTATCAGAAAACCATTAGAATTTGTTTGGTTTTTATAAAGTTCTGCCCCATGCTAACGTTCTGTATACAAAACTTTTAATATCATGGATTTGTTCAAGTCATAAAAATTCATTGAAAATCAATATACTTGTTCGTCTCAAGATCTTAAACTCTGTGTATCAATCTGAAGTCACTCGGATGATAACTTTAGCCTTTAAGCTTTAGAGCGGAAATTGTTGAAAATCAAGGGCCATAACTCTGGCAGTAATTATCAGAAATCGCTGAAAATCAATAGGCTTCTTCATCTCATGACCTTAAACATGGTCAATCGGATATTAACTTTGGCCTCTAGAGCGTCCACAAGATTTTTCAAAGTGATCAAGGGCCATAACTCTGGCAGTAATAATCGGAAATCGTTGAAAATCAATAGGCTTCTTCATCTCATGACCTTAAACACTGTGTATAAATTTAAGGTCAATCGGATATTAACTTTGGCTTCTAGAGCGTCCACAAGATTTTTTGAAGTGATCAAGGGCCATAACTCTGACAGTAATTATAGGAAATCGTTGAAAATCAATAGGCTTTTTTGTCGCAAGACCTTAAATACTGTGTATAAATTTAAGGTCAATCGGATATTAAATTTGGCTTCTAGAGCGTCCACAAGATTTTTTGAAGTGATCAAGGGCCATAACTCTGGCAGTAATTATCGGAAATTGCTGAAAATCAATAGGCTTCTTCGTCTCAAGACCTTAAACACTGTGTATAAATTTACGGTCAATCGGATATTAACTTTGGCCTCTAGTGCGTCCACAAGCAATTGTGGACGCCGGACAGACGTACGGACCGACGGGGGGCGACAACTATGAGCCGAGAACGAAGCGGGTGAAATTTTCGCATAGTCTCGGTCATCAAATCCACTATGAGCCGAGAACGAAGCGGGTGAAATTTTCGCTTAGTCTCGGTCATCACATTGAATGTTACTAAAATCATTAATGTAAACAGCATAATCTCGATTATCCACTGTTTTGATTTAATTATCAATGGCTGTTAAGCGGCATATAGGAATCTAATCCAGCCAACATCGAAGGCTAGCCTTGACATCAAGAGTTTATTATGGTTTTGATAAGTTAATTAATGTCTAATTGATAACATTTCAGGCCTAAAGAAAGACTTGTAATAAGCAGATTTTGCTCTTGCATAATGCATGTTTAATTAACTCTTAAAACGACCCAGAGGTTTGACGTCATAACGTCATAAAAACCCACGTCATAATGGTCAATAGTATTAAAATATAGATATGCATTTTAAAGTCATATCATTAATAAACAACTGTAGATAGACCCTTAATGTAAATGGATGAAATAATCTAAATTTAATGCCATTTTCATAAATATAAATTAATACAAAAATTAATTTAGACATTTCATGCAAAATCCATGTATATAATGGTTATTTCTATTTTTTTTTTTTTTTGTTCGGCTGTTGTGAACTAAAAATTATTCATCATGAATCTCTTTTAATTTAAGCTTATTTAAGTACCGTAATAGAAATTTGTTGATTAACTAAGCCTACTTCTATCACGTTCTAGGCCTAACGCAAAACTGTAAAAAATCTACACTACAGATAAAATCTGAATCACTGTCATTCAATAAGGATGGTAATCCGTCATTAGGTGAACGTTGCCGAATAGGTCTAGACATATCACCGTTTTATTATAATTTTTCAAGGAGAAACAGTGAGATTTTTAACTGTCAAAATGTCAAACAGGAAGTAAACAAATGAGATAAAGTCGTCTGTTCATAAGGGAAATAACTCTCATTACGCTAGGAACGTTGCATTCGGCTAACCAGTTTTGTCGACAAAAGTCGCCGTGGGTACTTAACGGTAACGTTATAGGTGTCGACAAAAGTCGCCTTGGGTCAGTTAAGAGTTAAAGAAGAAATAAATACTTTAAATGACACCACTAGCATTAATTTCAATACATATTTGTCTTCTGTAACATAACCAAATAAGGTAATGAGTACCATAGTTATACCCTAACTCAGTTGGTCACATACATGTAACTTTCCATATTTGTCATGTTAACACCCTTACAGGTATATTAATTTCATGATAAATTAATTTCTTGTTTTACAGTAATTAAAGATGGGTTCCCGCGTACAAACTGGGTGATTTAATGGTATATATGGACTAAAAACATATTCAAACTAATTAATTTGTCATATCGAATCCTAATTAAATTCTTGGATTATCCACTACCCGTGTCTTTTTCTGTCATTTTTATCTCTTCATAAAGTTTATCAACCTGTACATCAAGCGGTCAATGTTCACGTGTGACCTTTGACATCACGCGTGCAGAAATTCCTAATCGTCGGGCTGTTGATTAGGGGAACCCTTACATTTTTGTCCTGTATACGCTCCATGAGTGTTTTTCTAGTAAGATTAGATATCTCTACTTTCCATATATACCAAAATTACCATACTTTTATTGGAAATAACCACCTGATAAATACTTTTCTGGGAACCCATCTTTAATATTTAAGAATAAATTAAATTGATAATACAAATGACCAAACCTTTAGATATGATAAACGTTGATTCTGTTTTAATCTTTCAAGTACTGCTAAATTACCTAGTTCTATATCTTTATCATCATCTTTAGCTTTCTGATCACTGAAACAATAAAATATTCATATTTTATTATCATGGTATTTAGCATGTGTAATAAAAGCAATTAGCATTCCAGGTCTTTGGGAGAACAAATATTTTTAAGTACATTTTACACCAGGTCTGGGTGATGGCTGTGTGTGATGGTAATGAAAGGTAATCATTACACATTAAGATAAAACACAAGAGTTCTATGGATAAACAATTTAATCAGAGCTAAGTTTCAACAATGATTCTATTGTCATTTTCAAGCATAATACTGATACGGACAGAAAGAACGAAATATATACTATGTACAATCAAAAGATTAGTGAAACCACTTAATTATGAGAACACTGACCCTTTGAATATCTTAATGAAACCATATGCAATAAATACATTATCTAATAGTTAATCGATAAATGCCATTCAAACAGTATACACAGATTAAAGTAATGGACATGTAATGAGTAACGGAACAATTTAAAAGTAAAGAGTAATGGAAAAGAAATTAATCACATTCCATGAGATAAGATGGCTTAAGTCAAGACTATATGCATCTGATTCTGAATGTAGCCGAGTCCTGACCATCTCCTGACTGCAATGGAGCGAGAGAACATACATGCAGAGCTCTATTCATCTCAGTTGAATTAATTTTTAGACAAAAAGTGCATTCTGGTAAACTGGGTTTCAACAAAGTCTTAGCTACAAATTGAACACTTACTATTAATAAATACTGGGGTATTGAAGTCTATTTTATAACTGGTAGAAGAGAATGCAATAAGACAGATTTAGCATTAATCAGTAGATATAATATGGCTATTAGAAATAACTGGCAGTGTGACCTAAGAACAACTATAAGTTTGGGGATAAATTCTATAAATTACTTTTGTGCATCTTCTTCCATATCATAATGGAATTCATCTTCTTCTTCTTCTTCTGAACTATCATTTTGATTACTGGCCATTGCCTGAAATAACAACAAAATATACAATTACGTGCTAATATATTCACACAGTACACAAGCTATATAAAGCAAATACACTTTCTAGAATTTTACAGGCAGGCTTTTATCTCATATTATTCAGTAATAATGCTGAATTTAATTATTGAGTATGAGTATTAAATAAGTAATATTGTTACTTACTTATACAAAAACAAACAAAAACATTCAGTCTTTGCATGGATAAAATATACTATAACCGTTTAAAAACTTATTGAATCCTACACCTCCACGTACTTATTCTTGAATGGATTGGCATTTGGCAACCAAAACAAAATTTGTTCACAGTAAGCGAAGTTATTGAGAGGTAAACAATAGGCACTATGCAAGAATGTTGCTTGTATGCAGATCCCAACAATTAGTATGATTAAATGTGGATTTAAAGAGTCATACCTTAGAATTTGTTTCCATTTGACAAGATGCATCTCCACCTGCATCTATTGTTGGGGCAGGTAACTCATGTAATTGACATAGATCAGTTACAAGTTTCTTCACCTGATGCACAATCTAAATAAATAAATGTTTTCGTCATTTTTATTAGTACGGTAATCATTACTGATTGATATAGCATGAGAGATATGCTTATATTTATAAAAGAGATAGATGTTTTTTTTGTTATTCACAGCATTGCAAAAGAAGATCACCCTGTAATATTAAAATCATATACATGTGTGTATTAGTGATGAGGCTAAATAACTCAATAACTCAAAATGATAATATTATAAAGAGATTAAATTAAATATTCCTAATCTTTAAGTGGTATTTAGCGATCGGTCAACACATTAACAGAACACAGTTTTTATGGGATACAATCACTAGTTTTATTCTAAAAGCACAACGTTTCGACAAGTATCCTCTTATCAAGCACAATGCTTAAAAATAAGAGGATACTTGTCGAAACGTCCTATAAAAACTGTGTTCTGTTAAATATTCCTAGTACATGTAAATATCAAACTGACAAATTATTTCTAGGTCAAATAAAGAAAAAGTGGGAAGTTATATTTTAGGTTTAAGGGCATTGAGTAGTCTTAAGATACACACTAACTTTTCAGCACCCATCTATTAAGACTTTGCAAACTTGTTCCTACCATTTGTTGTATAAAAGTGGGAGATACAAGCACAAAGAAAAAAAAATATTTATGGCAAAAGAGAAGGTTTCTTAGATCAGTCGTTGAATAAATTATGACGTCGCACACATCAGTTATGTGATCCGCAGTAAACAATCATGGTTGCCTCCAGCAACAGTTTGACACTGGTCAATGTATCCCGATTAAGTATCCCTCTACAGTGCAATTATCCTGGGCCCTAATTCACGAAAAATTAAACTAAGATACAATCGAAATTTTAAGAAATACTGCAATTCGATTGGATGACCAGTAAAATCAATTTGCATATATCCAATGAAGTTGCAGTATTTCTTAAAATTTCGGTTGTAACTTAGTTTAAGTTTTCGTGAATAAGGGCCCAGGTTTAGTTGGATTTCTTTTTTTGATAGTCAAAGACTACCATTTTTGAATGTATAAAATGATTTTGAGTGCAACAGTGTAGTGCACTGAAGCAAAATTTTACTTTTTACATCCAAATTGTTGTATTTTAAAATTAGTTGTCGACGTACTCAAAGAATTTACCGAAAATAACAAAATATTGTTTGAAAGTAAATAATGAACACTGATTTTAAAATACTTTGAGTAGATATATTTTAAATATTTGAATGTCTTTAGTGTCGGAATGTTGCTTATAATAACCTTTTCTTTCAATCTACGGGAGGGATTATCGATTTAGCACGAACTTATAGAATTTAAAAAAAAAAACCTCATTATTTCTTGACGTTACCATAGATACAAGACGAACAACCCTCTATAGCCAAACAGTGACCAGTAGGTTTCTAGTTTCTTGGACTTGCATATCATTGTTCATGCCTAATAACTGAGAAAATTAACCTTTTGTTGTCACCAGCACCCTTTAATATCATGCTCTTGGGCCAAGTTTGGAACATAATTGGTATTTTTTTGGTGATTAAACTACATGCATTATGCAAGAGCTAATTCTGCCTATTGCAGGTCTTTCTTTAGGCCTTAAATGTTATCTAAATTATTAATTAGACATTAATTAACTGATCAAGGCAATAAACAAATGGAAATGAAATGAAATGAAATGGGGTTTAACATCCTACTGTTTTGCTCCTAAAATGGGTTAATGAAGACGGGCATACGCCATACAGTGTGCTATGAGGGAAATTTTTCCCGGGCAGCGGCGCTACGGCCTACTCTTATATCGAATTCCAACTGCCAAGGGATCTTTTACATGCACACCAATTTGTACAAAGGGCCTCGGATATGTGTGATTATCAAAAGGAACCAAGATCTTTATGATAAAAACATATATTTAAAGTTTCATCCAAATCCGATAAAACCTGTGGCCTCTAGAGGGTCCACAACTTTGATATACGTGTACAATATTTTTTACACTATTTGCGCACAAGGGGCAGCCATTATGTCCGTCAGTTTTTGTCTGATTTTCACGAAATTCGAACTCAACCATCATTAGTATGTAACTGTGATATATTCACACGTTTTTTCTTAAATCAGATAAAAATTGTGACCTCTATAGGGACCACAAACCTTGATATACCAGATGTTCACACTATTTGCGTACAAGGGGCGGTCATTTTGTCCGACAGCTTTGGTCCGATTTTCACGAAATTCGAACTTAAACATCATTAAGGTGTAACAGTGATATACAAATGTACTAAAACATTTATTTATATCAAATAAAAATTGTGACCTCTAGAGGACCCACAAACTAAAAGCGTGATTTTTCGTACAATCAGGGGCCATAATTCAGGAAGTTACGGTCCGATATGCGCGAATATCAAAAGGAACCAAGATCTGTGGGATATGAACATTCATCCCAAGTTTCATCAAAATTGGATGAAAATTGTGACCTCTAGAGGGTCCACAACCTTGATGTACCATATTTTACACTATTTGCGTAAAAGAGGTGGCCATTTGTCTGGCAGTTTTGGTCCAGTTTTCACGAAATTCAAACTCAACCATCATTAGAGTCTAATGGTGATATATTAAAACATGTTTTTAAATCGGATAAAAGTTGTGACCTCTTGAGGGACCACAAGCTAAAAACGTGATTTTTCGTACAATCAGGGGCCATAATTCAGGAAGTTACGATCCGATCTGCGCGAATAGCGAAAGGAAACAAGATATTTGGGTTATAAACATGCATTTCACGTTTCATCAAAATCGGATCAAAATTGTGACCTCTAGAGTGTCCACAAGCTAAAAACGTGATTTTTCGTACAATCAGGGGCTATAATCCATGAAGTTATGGTCCCATACATGCCAATATCGAAAGGAATCGACATCTTAGGGATAAAAATTGTGACCTGTAAGAGTGTCCACAAACTAGCTTTAAAATGTGAATTTCAGAGTACTCAACACCCTTAAATCAGATATTCTTACAATGTATCATTTAAAGACATGTATATCAATTAAGTTGTAAAATAAATTCTGCTTGTCTCTTATGTCTCAATAAACAGTTTGACTAAGCCGTCTAAGCATTCAAAAATTCTATTGGGATACTCTGTCTGCACGCACTTTAAGCATCTTAATACAGACAGGAATAAAAGTTTGGTTTTGTGTTAATTAGTTTAAAACACATAATATGTAAGATGGATCTGATTAGATTTACTAGTTGATATACATGTACACAGAACTGTCACTTGGCGAAACAAAGTTGTGTTTGAAAGTAAGATAGAATTCCTTCCATTGTAAAAAAAAAGAGAAAAAATAGAATGAAATTATAACCAAATTTAATATGCCTGTTAGTGTTTAACCCAGGCTAAATGTACATCACAGAACTAGAATATTTATACTTGTATGGAAATATTTAATGTATCAAGAACAGGTTCACTATTACAATGAAATAAACAAAATCTTTGCCTTATTTAAATTAACCTACATGTGTTATAATTAGTTATTTATAATAGTCCAGTTAACGAAAGTCATATTATCTAAGCAAAAAAAAAACCAAACCCACCAATGTGGAGTGGAGGTTGATAGTTTATGTTGTTTCAGGCTAAACCTTTGAGCCGGTAAGGCTAATTCAAAATAAATAATATAAACACAAAGTTTTATGAGATTAATAAGGACATGGTTAAAGAATGTATAATGATTGTGAAATTTATCATAAATCAAGTGATCAATAAAGCTTACATTATAATTTTCAGGTGGACTGTCTGTCAATCTACCTATTACAGTTGTCAAGGTCACATCTTCTGAATCACTAAACCATATAGGGGCTGTCTGAGGATAAGTTTCCTACAAAAACACAAATTATATTAATAAGTTACAGACTAACTGTATTTTGATTTTCAGCATCACAGTATAATAAGTAGAATCTATACAAAGAGACGATAACAAGTGTTGAGAAAATTTTCACACAGAAAAAATAGTTTGGAGAGGCATGAAAACGTTTTGATGAAAAAGTTTCAGGAAAAAATGTATGACTAACTGGGCTCTTTCTGGGTGTACAAAGTGTAAAAAAAAAGGAGTAAAAAATTTATTGTGGTAAATAAATAGTGACAGTTTATATAAAACATATTTCATTACATAGGCCTACATGCTACACATCATGTAGATGGATGTGCATATTTTTTTACAGTAGATAAAAAATATATACGCTTATTGGTTGGATACAATGATGTAATAGTTATTATGATTATTATACCATTTTCGAAAGGTGTGTCATTATCAATCATGGTTTGTTTCAATAATTATAACTCATGTTTTATTCTAATAACTAATGAAAAAAGAAAAATAACATAATAAAACATGATTTTTTACTAATATTAATAAGCTTATCTTATATGAAAAGTAAATGACCATTCTAATATTACAATAATACAACCCTGTGATTGAAAATTTTATCTTAGAGGAAATGTGGACAGATGTTTATGGAAATTGCAACAAGGAAAAAACATCTAATAACCAGTAGATTTCCAAAAATCCTTTATGAAAAGGTGGAATTGATGAGATAAATACGGATATGGAGCTACAGAAATCATTTCTCTGGAAACAAGTGCAACTCGTTTGTTCGTTCTTGGTGTTTAACGTCTGCTTCCACATAAGTGATATCGCAGACAAGACATAGGAGAGCCGAAGCTGATTCCTGTTTTTTAGAATATGATTTTGCAGTCTTTCCATTTGGCCTTAGGCCATGGATTTGGTTTAGTGGGAAGTTCTTCCCTTCATTTAATATAAAACATATCGTTTGGTAGATGATCTCGTCTGCTTCTGGATTGGTAGATGTCATCGTTTTAGTGTTTAGGTGCCAGGCCCGTCTTATCGTGGCCTCCCCTTACTCCACTATCTCACTCTCTGGGTTTGGTATCAGTTTTATTTGCGGAATAGTGTTTAGGTGCCGAGTTCATCTGACCGTAACTCCCCCTTTCTCCACTATCCTGCTAGTTTGGTAGATGTCATCTTTGTGGGGTTTGTGTTTAGGTGCCAGGCCCATCTTATCGTGACCTCCCCTTACTCCACTATCCCACTCTGTAGGTTTGGTGTCTGTTTTTGGTGGAATAGTGTTTAGATGCCGAGTCCGTCTGATCGTGACTCCCCCTTACTCCACTATCCTGCCAGTTTTGTATAACTCCACTATGTAGTTTAGTGGTTAGATGCCGGGCCCGTCTAACCGTGACCCCCTCTCACTTCACTATTCTACTTAGTCCAACTGTGTCCATTAGGGCGTGGATTTGTTCGAAGATTTGCAGTTTCAGATTTGGTCTCAGGAAGAGTAGGTTCTTAGTGTTGAATGGTATGTTGTTGGTCTCCATTGTTCTCACTAGTTCCCTTCTCTCCTCGTATACCTCGCAGTCTACCAGGACATGGTTGGTGGTACATTCTTCTCCGCACTCACAGATGATGACTTGGTGTTTGTAGTCTCGCAGCCGCTCTTTCACCCTTAGCTTCGATATAAGTCTACAAATATCTCTTCTAGGGTGATTGAGTGTTGTCTTTGTGTAGATCTTGTCATCCAGCCGGAATCTGTATGTGTCAAGTTCAACGAGATTTAATTCCCAGATTGAATTGACCTGTCTTTTGACCATACTGTAGATTTCCGTGGTGCTGTAGTCTATGGTGCGGAGTGGTGCTGTGTCCTTGAGACCTTCATTGGCGAGTCGATCTGCCTCCTCGTTTCCTCTAATGTTGACATGTGATGGAATCCACACGAGTTCTACTTTGCTTCCCTTCTCTAAAACCCTCTGGTACAGCTGCCTGATTTCCAAAATGACTTTTGGTCTCGAGTCCGAGTTGTCATTTTGGATTGAAATCACGACTGCTCAGAGAGTCGCTTGGAATGACGAACTTACTAGTCTTTTGATGGGAAATCCATGATATAGCGTCACGAATGGCCACAAGCTCTGCAGTGTACACCGAACAGTTATTGGGCAGTTTCCTGCTTATTCCCTGTTCCCCGTTTGGCAGGTATATTCCAAACGAGCTGGTGCCCCTTTCAGGAATGCGTGAGCCATCCGTGTACACATGGTCCCAGTCATCAGACGGCCAGTTGTCTTCCAGGTGTTCTAGAGAGAAAGCACATGCAGCAGTGGGTTGTTTTTCTTGTCGGTTTTCTGTAGTAGATCTAGATTAACCGGCGGTATAGGGAGCGTCCAAGGGGCGATCGCTGGGGGGTCGTGTTCATTTATCACAAGCTCCCCCAGTCGCAGTTCCTTGATTGTTTCCCTGATACCCTGGCCGAAGCTTTTCTTTCTAGGATCTCTCACATAACTTGTATTTTGTAGACTGACAAAGGTTGGGGATCTTTCGCCCAGTTGCGAGATCTTAGCCCAGGACCTTGTCGCTAGTTCTTTTCTTCTTAGGGATAGGGGCAACTCCCTGACTTCTTGCAGTAGTGCCTCTCTCCCAGTCCCTTGCCCTACGCCAGTCGCAATACACAGAGCTTTGTATTGTATGGTGTCAAGCTTCCTTAAGAGTAATGGCGCGCAGTTCATGAAGGCCAGAGAGCCGTAGTCTAATACAGTGCAACTAATACAGTATAACTATATTTCTCCTAGAGTTTCCTAAATGTATGTCTAAATAACCAATAAGACATACTGTATGTTGATGAATTAAATCTATATGATTATAACTTGAAACCGTTTCATTTCATAAAAGTTGACATCAGTAATTACTTATATTGGCTTTACTGATGTTCATAGTGGCCTCAATCCAAATGCACACCCATCTTTTTGTTTTAATCAGAAAACTATTATTGCATTTATTCTGATCAATTTAATAGCCTAAGCTACTGTGTCTCGCTGATTTCATATATAACAAATCATTCTGTTGTTAATTGTTTTATTTTATTACACTAGGTAATTAAGAAATCAGTAAGGTGTTAATGAGTACACAACCCTACTAGCTAGTTTGTGTAATTGGAATGTAGAGAAATACCCAGTTACAAACTCCTAATAAACACTTGGTTAGTGTTTGAGAAAATTTAGAGTGTTTTAAATAAATGGCAAAAATCGTTTTAGAGTAGACCTATCTTTGTGAGTTGGAGTGAAAATGTTTCAATGAATGAATTTGAGTTTCATTGACATTATTGGGGTAAAGTGTATAGACTGGCTTGAATTCAAATACATGCTCTTTAAAGGCACAAACAAGCCAGACCAATCTCATTTATTTTAAACGTAAAAAAAGGCATTATTTTAATGTATTAAAAACTTGTTATTATGAAATATTATGAAATTAAGCAATAACAAAGTTTATTTGGGATACAGGTGAATATGTCCATTTTTATATATTTAATTTCTTACATCTTAGATAGCCTTTTAATTAAGACATTTCATTGGCTAACCTAGACTGTAAAACATGATAAGTACCGGTAACAAAAATGGATTAATATATTATTATATCGCCGAAAAAATGATGTCCTGGACAGTTTACATATAACATGCAATATGGGTAAACAAGTGATAAATAAACAACTGTCCATTGATATTCTTAAAGGAGCTAAGTCGCTAAATTTGGGACCTAGAAATTGACACAAATGGGTCGCAACGCATACAATAATGTAATATGAATGTATTTAAATTGATTTACATTCAATCGTTTCTGTTTTTACTGTAATTTCTAATCAGTTAGGTTCGGCGAAATACTCCGGTATTCTCAATCGAATTTCAATCTCGAGCGTCTGGTTTTCCCAGTCTACGCCGATAGTATTTATTGGGCATGCTCTCCAGATAAGAATATAGCTTCACCATTTGACATGACTTGTGGAATATGCCTAGCCTCGTTTTTCGAGTCCCTTATTACAAATAGCACTGAAACGCATTATGGTACACGATTCATGTACCAAATGTAAAATGTTTATTTTGTCTTAAATATTGGATATCAGAAGGTTATCTTTTCCTGGTAAGATCACAAATTTAAAGCGACAAACAAATCGTGTTTTCAATGTCGAAGATTTTTGATGATATTGAGTTAAAGACTTAGCTACTTTAATTTTTTGTGGTGAAAACTGTGACTAAAAAAACAATTTCCCGTGGAATTCTGTTTCAACCCATCCCATTTCTGAGATCAAATCTCTTGTCTATTAGACAGTGTCAATCTAGTTAATACAACATCATTCAGGAATTATCCAGATATATAATATCATGGAAAGTGATAATCTAGTAAACAACAAAATCATTCAATTATGGAAGCAGCACATGAATGAGTACCGGTGCACTTATTCTTGAGGTTTGGTAATGGTAATGGTACATTTTTATGATTGTCAAGCTTCTTGTCATCTTTTGTTCAAAGCGCCAGATAAAACGTGATTTTGTAGTCACTCACTTCAACCCAAATTTTGTTATTCCTGAGCTTCTTGAACTAAAAAATGAGCATCTTATTTCTTTACCTAAATCAGTAAATCTTTATGTTTCAGTTCTTTTCTTTCTTTTAATTTTGTCAAAGTTTAGTTAGATCATGCAGTGGAAAATTATTTTAAAAATCTGTAAATAGGTGTTTTGATGAAATGTCATTCAATAATTTTTATACAGATTTTATTTGAGAAAATGTATGACGCATTATTGATGTCATTTAATTATTTACCGTTATGTTGGCATGAATGTCGTATTTCTCTCCATTTCTTCCAATGAATCTGCATGACAGTTCATCAACAGAAGCCGAGCGAATTTGAAAACGTTCGTGGTCTTTGGAAAAAGAGGTCTCTAAAAACTTAATGTCCTGTTTCAATTTAGCTAAACAAGCCATTCCCACGGTCGGGTTATATTTTGGACTTCATTAAAATTCCTAAAATCCCTAATTTCATTCAGGAAATAACAGTCCAGTCAACAGATCTTGCAAAGCGCAGGCGCGTTCTCCAACAAGCCTTTTCCGGAATAAGTAGTCCTGTGTATACGGTACTTTGTATGTATTGACATTTCTTTAGACAGACGTCTTAGTGTTCAAGACACAATTAGAAAGCGTATACGAATTATCTGCCCTTTAATATGGCGGCAAATCCGAGAAATTAACCAAGTTTTTACATGAAATTGTTAGTTTATGTATTTTTTTTTGTTCAGTATATATTACAATCGCATTCTAACAAAATCCATATATTTCTAGGAACTGTTGGCCGACTTTTTGGCTTGTTCCTTCACATATGTTCTGACATTGTTCACTGGCACTGGTACTGCTTGTCTGCTGATCGGCAATGGCAATGTCAATGAAGTCAAGTTAGCCATAGATGAGTTAGCCTAGTTAGGCCAAGTTCAGCAATAGTTTAGCTCTGAACGTAGGTCTCATTTACATTCACCCTTGGTTTGTTCCTTCACATATGTTCTGACATTGTTCACTGTCACTGCTCGTCTGCTGATCGGCAATGGCAATGCCAGTGAAGTCAAGTTAGCCATAGATAGATGAGTTAGCCTAGTTAGGCCAAGTTCAGCAATAGTTCAGCTCTGAACGTAGGTCTCATTACATTCGCCCTGTACGTTCAGGAACCGTCCTATTGAAACCTTGTCGAAAATAAAATCACTTCCCAGTCAATTTTACTGGGCAACATTTCACTGCTAAACGGTCGCATGGCTCATACTGGTTTTAGTGAGGTAAGCAAGGTCATATTTTCCCACTAATCACTAAGATTAAGAAGATGTCTATTTCATTTACATTGTTCAGGCGGACTGACACATGACCATTTAGCGATTTTATTTTCGATAAGGATTTAATAGGACGGTTCCTGAACGTACAGGGCGAGTGTAATGAGACCTATGTTCAATACGAACGAAACTAGTCACTGACATTCGGGATAACCAGGTCTTCATAGCCACCTTATCTCTTATATTATTTGTAAAATACCCTTTCATAAAGAAGATAAACAATGTTATACATTATAAACCGGAACTAATCTTATCACAGACATTTATCCATCAAATAGTTTATATTCACATTTCATATCAAGTCAATTAATTATGTTGTCTAAACATTAAAATCGTAACGTCAATTAACAAACAATACAGGTATACTTTATTACAAAAACATCGGTGAACTAATCTAAAATCTAAAATCATAACGGCAATTAAATAACAATACGAATATACTTTACTACAAAAACATCAGTGAACTGACCTAAAATCATAACGCTAATTAAATACTGTCAGACTGCATTTCCGGCTGTCTATATTTTAAAAATTTCTTGGAGAGGTCCCCATACCCTCCATAAGGGCTCACTACTTTGGCACTTTTCACTCTGGTCGGATAAACTAGTGGTCAGACGACAGGCGGTATCTGGTAAGATCTATTTATCTTAACGATCAGTGCCTGAAATACTACCAGATTGCATTTCCGGCAGTCAATTTTTCAAAAAATTCTGGAGAAGGCCCCCATACCCCTAGTTAGAGCTCGCGCCTTTTCCCCCTTAACCTTGGACTTTGCCCCTGCTTTGCCCTGCCTACCACCGGCTGCTGGCGCCGATACTGAGTGGTGACCAAACTGTTACAATTCTCTGTTTTGTTAATATATAATGTAGGCATACAATTACAAATAGACTACTGGTGCATTGTTAATTCCATATGAATAATTATTATCATATTGAAATCTTGTTTTTATATTTTACAGATTTTCATCATGTTTTATAGATGAATTTGGTGTGAAAGATCAAATTTGACTGTTGTACATACATACAATTAAATCATTTGAATGCTTGGTTACCTTGTAAAGGCTTTTAGACAGCATATCATTAAATCAAGTGGTATCAAAAGGAAACCATTTGCATCTGAAGTTCTTACATGTCATCTTAAACAGCGCCACCTTCCACATTGGACATCATTCAGTGTTTATCAACATTCTGTCATCAACGATCAGTTTGGATTTTCACATTTTAACTGGAAAGTAGATGGTGTGAATTATCACATATTGAGAACTGGATGTTTTCCTTTTATCAAATACCACTGTTCAAAGCGACTTTATGAAGATCTGTCTTTCGATGATACTTTCTTCACATGGTTAAAATTTTTAAACTTGGGTAAGAAATAAGATATTCTAATTCCATTGTTTTGAAATGTAAGAAAAAGCACGAGATTAGAGATGTTAGTTGAGAATGTAAAACAGGTTGAATGAAAACAAGAGCATTATGACTAACATAGTGTTCATTAGTGCAATGAAGTTCCTGTTCAAGGGGTGTACATGTACAGAGAGAAAGAGTGAGAGTGCATTCTACTTTGTAAACAACAGAAAGTTTTGTCAAGGAAGATCAAGTATAAAGAATCAGAAGGCCAACAATTGTTTTTTTTTTTACAATAGACAGAAACATTTATACAATATTATTGAAATTTCCCTTAAATACTACACCCAGAGAAAAAGCTACATTATGCACTGTAGTACAGATTATTTAAACAATGAAAGGTTTGTATCGTCATTGTTCAATCAATACAGGTGCCAAAATCATGTTATTTTATTTTTTAGGTATTCCAACATTAGCCTATGGTGTTGCTTCCTGGATGTTGGTTAAAATATCCGAAGATATTCATACATCAAAAGGAATTGTTAAAATCTACTTCTTATTACAAGAGGACAAGGATGCTATAAATTAGTTACAGCAGTAATAAATAGTAAAAATTATCAGTGATCAGCATTAAAGTAAAGGGAGGTGACTCTTATTAGCAGCATGGTACCTCAAAGTTATGAGCTGAGTTTTTTTGCCTCTATCGTGTTGGTTGTGGTCATATTTATTGTTGTGTTTTTGATTCTCTCATCATGTGTGAAGTGTTTACGCTGGTTATTCTCTGTACTGTGGAATTACTTTATAGGCAAGGATTCAGAACAACATCCGGAAAATGTGGAAGAAGTAAAACGAGAAATACCTACTAAATCTGATAAAAAGAAGAAATAAAGAAAAACATGGTGTCTGCTAAAATTCTGTTGTAATGGAATATTCTTCATAATGGATAGAATAGATTAATAAGATTATTTGATTTGGTTTTTTAAAATTAAATTGTCACTTTATTTAACTTAAAGAGGCTTTAGAACTTTTAGCAAGAACTTAAATGTAATCCTATGATATTGTAAACCAATCAAAACTAAATTTTGCATGCCATCTGATTTGAAAACCCTTTGATATCACTTTTAATAAAAAATTAAATTTTTACAGACCAACAGAGATCTCTTAAATTCTTGTTCCTCTTTAATCCCTAGGGCAGCTGTTTTTCTTTAATAAAATAATATTGTACTTTATAGCATCATAATGTTTTTATTTTGGAGTAGATAAATATTTTTATTTTAGTTTTATATAAGCTTACTTTTAGTCGAATACGTATCACAGTAGTACATTAGAACTTATACAAAGTGTTGTCAATAGAAACACTACCATTTAAATCATATTTGCAGCAGTGTTTATGGCCAATTCCCCATTAGGCCCACTTTTCTGCTGATACAGCATTAGAAAGCATGTGGTAATCTATAGAAATATCTCATTACAGTTTGGTTTGTTATAAGACCAGTGTCTGCATGGCTCCTAGCAGTGTTTTAAAAATATTATTGTCTGATGAGGTTTTTCTATTTATAACTTGACATGTGTAATATATACGAGGATTGGAAACACTTGAAGGTATAAGAAATAATGATGGAATGAAATTGCTTACCCACTAGTATGTTGTCATTACATCTATTTCATACTTATAAGGGCTTATAAATGTTTTTAATCTTTTTATTGACACATTGACATATAAGAGGTTATGGTTAGATTTATTGTATTATATCACAAGTGGCAGAGATAGAGTTATTAATGAGATAAGTGCCTTCCATTGTTTTTATACACCTGCTGTATAATGTCATCACCCCTGTCTGTTTGTGTATCCGCTAAATCACATGTATTTTTTTGTGCTAAACTACATGTAACTTTATGCAAATGTCTTTTCCAGAGTTACTTCCCCTTTCACTGAAACTTTTAAATTGCTCTACACAGGAGTTTTGAGGTTTTTATTTTCAAACATGCTGGATTTGTTGAGCTAGCTTAATTATAACAAGGAACCCTTTTTAATGTCGTGCAACTAATGTTACTCATTTAAACGCTATTGTCCCTGTCACAGAGATGGTCATCTTACAACGTATGTCATTCATGCAACCTTTAACAATGGTGTTGCTAGATGATATAATTAGTGATGCTGTTGTAGACATAACGATATGTTACTTTTGCTTATGTTTTTATATTTTTTCGTATCTACACAGAAGTAATAATTTATTATTCAAGTGCAGCTAGATACATAATTAGTATCATGTTGATTGTAAAGTTTATTTTTTATGAATAATAATCAGTTTGACATTATCTTATAATTTGTTTATACAACATATAGTTACTGTTTATTATCACAGAAGTGATTTCAAAATAATAAAAGTCATCTGAAATGATTTCGTTAATGTCCACTTACGGGTCAACTTTCAGATCAAACAATTTTTTTAAATTTCATCACCTTCCATGGATAAAATATAATCGTATGAACATTCTTTGGGTCTGAGATGGCAAAAATTATCATTAGGAGATTGCCTATTGTAATGGTTTAACCTCACTTTCCCCACATTTGATTGTTTTGATAAAGGATTAGGAGGTTACTAGACTGTGGGTGTAGGACTATAGTCTGTTCTAATTAATTAGATCACTGGTGTAAACTCCTCACTCTAATTATTGTTACTGGTGAACACTTCCCACTATCAGTAGATTGGGCAAATTGGTGAAATCAGTTTACTAATAAATTTACATTGTGAGCTGTTTTGATGTAATAATTATTTTGAAATGAAAACAAATAAACTACTGATATTTAATCACAGCTTATCAGTTGATATATATATAGCTCTTCTGAATCACAAATGGTCTTGTCTACGATATCACCTT